TATCTGTATTCTTCTTCCGTCAATATTTTGTGAGTCTTTTATAAGGTCTTTTCCACTGTACACCTATCTGAAATAGGTATTAGCCTTGCCAGTCTTCCTCCTTTTAATGTTTCATTTAAACTTTACCAAAACAAATGGATCACAATAAAAATCCAAAATTCCAGTCTATTTATGGTGTCAAATCTGAAATAATGCAGTAACTCAGAAACAGGAATCCGTGTTTCAAGACCTACTGTGATTAAATATAAATTGTTGCAAGTCATATTCATCTGGGTTGCAATGACTGTGACTACAAAACCAGTTCTCTTATCATTAATGACTTTACAGTCAGATTCAATTCAAAGCAAGCACATAACTCTAAAATTCGTAACTTCTTATGAGAAAATAAGCATAATCCATGGGTCCACATATATAAAATACTGTATATAAAATTTCTCTAGCCTGCAAACTATCTGAATTAAAACCAGTGAGAGCTAGAGTAGTAGTAATAAAAAGATAAATGTTAAAGTAAACATGACTGAAAAATAATATTCTGTTAAAATTCTGATTGATTTACAAGTGTTTACTCATAAATACTGTATAGCAATCCCTAAAGCAGCAGCAAGAAACCTCTCTCTCTTCTATGAAGTAGAGCAATACATAGTTAATCATAATGTACATATAGTCCAAAATTCCAATTACCTGTCAGTAGGAACTGCCTGTACCGTCAAAACATTATCATATGGCCTGTTTTGGTAAAAGACCTTAAATTACAAATTTTTAATCAAAATTATGAATTATAATTACTGGGGGTCAGAAAACATGGTTGGCTCTTAACCTGTGCTGACTAATTTCCAATCACAATTTAGGAGTTCTAGCAATCTCACTTGGTCACTTGTGGCAGAGGAAATGGGGAACCTCATTCAAAGAAGTTAAGATTAAAAATACTTAGTAAGCCATAACAATAAAATTCTCTTTGAAATTACTGTTTTCTCCAATAGTTTCTTTTGTCTTAAATTCAATTTATCTACTTGCCTTTCTTCCTCACTTTATGCTTCGGCCAAGGTGATACATAACTTTGATGTAAAGTGCAACAATTTTAGCAAGACAGACAATATATATATATGCCCGAAACATGTAGTAAGGAAGAAGGGTGACCAGATAATAAGCTGCAGTTAGGGGGGAAATACATTTGTACGAAAGATAGATAAATGCAACAGGATGCTTAGATATAATATTACCAATAACATTATGCTCATGTTCAGAACCAACGGTATCACAACAGGAATAAATGAACTCAGTGTGCCTAGTGAAGGCAAGAGCCAGAGAAAGGCACCAGAAAATACAGATCCACCTTTTCCTATTGACCAAAATATTTGTCTGGCTACTAGATTTTGACATATTTTTGACCACTAATAATTATAATTGAAACATCCTACAGCTGGAGTCTAACCACGGCCTTACTAAGGAATTCAAGAAAATGTCTAAGCACAAATGGCTATTTGGATACTTTGAGATGTCTGAAGACCGGAACAAGTCCCTAATGTAGAGATTCCTTAATGGGACCATAAAAAAGAGCTGGCTTGTATAAATAAAAAATAACATAAAATCAAATGGCCCCATTATTACATGCCTGAATGTATTACTTATATGTACATGCATATATGGACTAATATAGTCCTCTATTACTCAAACTTGTATAGACCAAATTCTTTGTTCACATAAAAATGTTGAGTTCTGTGTTAATTATGGCCAGAGATGCCTTATTTGTGTTGAGAAAACCAGAACCATTTCAATTACACTGCATGAGTAATAAGAATTTTAGTTGGTATCTTACCTTACTCTCATATTTACACATCTAGAATGTACTGCAAAATGTATAAGAACTACTGCACACAAACATACTCAGTCATCAGGCGAGAAAGGGGAATGGAATTTTATATGCATGGAGTGTGCAGAAGTTTGTGTGCATTTCACTTCACCACAGTTTCTTGCACAAGGACAAAGTGCAGGACTCTCAACTGCAGTTCTCTTCTGGTACACATCAGGAATATTACTGAAGTGGGGCTCAATGAGCACTTACATTCTAACTTAAAGAAAAATTCAATTTTACAGTCTTTTTATAACAATCTGTGAAAACAGTATGCCATTTTAAAAATACTACTTATAAAATTACACATCCATATCACTGCAACTGAATGTCAAACCCTAAATTGCAGGTAATGCAGGTATCCCTGCAGTCTCACATTCCGCTTTGGTTTCACACTCTTCACAGGCACAAGCATACAAGTTTGCTACATCAGTCTATCAAATCCAACATACTGGAGCCTTAAAAAACCTCAATTAATGGTGTTACAGATTTCAGAGGAACCTGTTGGAGCAAGAGGGCGGTGGGAAATAAATGGTATTTGCGAAGGGGGAAATTTTCACTATGATCTCACAAAACAGCACAGATCATTTTAATGATCTAAATTTCAGCACAGCAACTGTTCTTGATCTCTCCTGATTGCATGGTCTACATTACTACATTAAATGATTATCATCATTACCACAAAGGTCCCATTTTAAAGTATGTACCATCATGCAGCAGACAAATTTAGTTCTTGCTAGTCAGTTCTGCAAGTCATTAATATCCTAAGGCTGCAACAGACCTGACCTGGATGTAAAGCTGTCAGTCACACAATTAATTTCAATTTCCAGAATCCATTTCCTAAAGTATTTATCTATGAAAAAAAAAATACTGTCATGAATGATTTTTCTAAATATGTAAATAAAATTGGAATTCTGCTAAAAGATCCAGAATGACCTTGAGACATCTTGGCACAAGTGCCAAACTCCACGTGACTTGACAAGACACTTATAAAAATTACTTCAGCATTTAATATATTTTGTGGTTTTTTCAGTTTTCTTCTGCATTTACTCAAGTCACACAACAAAAGCGAGGTTATGGCACTGAGCAGCATGTTTGAGAATTATTATAAATGCACCCACACAAATTCACGTTCTACATAAATCTAAACCTGTGACCTCTGCATTTCCTTGGTCTATGTGCTGGTTTTGCGTCCCAGTGTTTGGCTTCACGTAAACACACTACACATAACACATTCCTGACTCTCAAAATGTTCTTTTCAGTATAGCACAGCCAAAATCCCAAATCAAATTAATACTTTTGCAAAAACAAATCAAAAGAAAAGTTCCTAACAGAAGTATAAATCATAAGTGACAAGAGCAATTTGAAAGATGGCAGTATGACAACATGACCAGACAGCAACAAGAATGAAATCATGGGCTTTTCTTCCTCACTGAATGACTGACACAAAAATAAACTCAAATTGCAGAGCTTTTATTTCATCATAATTGGAGGGGGGGCAAGGGCATGCACACACAACAAATTGTCAGCACAGTGTATAACCATTCCAAGTCTCTGGTCTTAACTATTCAGAAAAGGCAGGTTGAAACCAAACTTACATAACAGTATCATTATGATTTTCATCTCAGCATTATAGGCTAAGTTTTACAAATATTAAATCACCGTTATTTTCACAGAGAAAAGAAATAAAAATTACACCAAATAAAACAGTAATATGTATAAATATTGCAAGGAATATGATTCATTTGTAGGTTATGTGTGGGAAAAAATGTTACACTAAGAGATAATTATTACTCATACATAATACTAAGAGGTTGCTGGTGTGATATCGTTTTGACTATCCACAGCCCAACAGAAGATAAAAATGATGATATGAAGGACAGGATTTATGAAGAACTAGAACGTGTATATGATAAATTACCAAAGTACCATATGAAAATTTTGTTAGGAAATTTCAATGCCAAAATAGGTAGGGAAGACATTTTCAAACCAATGACTGGGAATGAAAATTTGCACAAAATTAGTAATGATAATGGAGTTAAGAGTAGTAAACTTGCCACATCAAAAAATCTTACTGTCAAAAGTACAATGTTCCCACATTGTAACATCTATAAATCTACTTCGACATCTCCTGATGGGAAGACACACAATCAAATCGACCAAATTTTGATAGAGAGGAGACGGTATTCTAGTATACTTGATGTCCGATCATTCAGGGCAGCAGATTGTGATACTGACCACCTCCTGGTTGTGGCAAAGGTTAGGCTTTATCTCCACTCCTCTTCAACTTTGCTTTGGAATATGCCATTAGGAAAGTCCAGAAAAGACAGGTGGGACTGAAATTAAATGGGACATATCAGCTGTTGGTCAATGCTGATGGTGTGAATCTACTGGGTGTTAATATACAGACCATAAAGAGAAACACACAAACTTTAATTGATGCTGGTAAGGACGTTGCAATAGAAGTAAACACAGAGAAAACTAAGTAAATGTTGCTGTCTCATCACCAAAATGCAGGGCAAGATCATGACATAAAGATAGGTAATAGATGTTTTGAAAATGAGGCACAGTCTAGATATTTGGGAATGGCAATAATAAACCAAAACCTGACTTGGGAGGATATTAAGAGGAGACTGAACACGGGTAATGCTCGCCACCATTCAGTCCAGATCCTTTTGTCTTCTCATCTGCTGTCCAAAAACCTAAAAATTAGAATATACAAAACTAATTTTGCCTTTTGTTCTGTATGGGTGTGAAACTTGGTGTCTGACATTAAGGGAGGAACATAGACTGAGGACGTTTGAGAACAGGGTGTTGAGAACATTTGGACCGGAGAGAGATGAAATGACAAGAGGTTGGAGAAAACTGTATAATGAGGAGCTTCATAACTTGTACTCTTCTCCACATATAATTAGAATGATCAAATCAAGGAGGATTAGGTAGGCAGGTCATGTAGCACAAATGGGGGAGATGATGAATGCATAGGATATTGGTGGGAAAGCCAGATGCAAAGAGACCACTGGGAAGACCAAGGCGTGGGTGGGGGGACAATATTAAAATGGATCTTAGAGATATAGGATGGGATGTTATGGATTGGATTGATCTGGCTCAGGATAGGGACTAGTGGAGGGCTCTTATGAATATGGTAATGAACCTCCAGGTTCCATAAAATGCTGGCAAGCTCTCAAATAACTGCACAAGGGGCTCAGCTCCATAAGTCAGTGAGCGAAGAGATACTTGCTAGAAAATAGACAGGCTTTAATATTATGGCTAAAGTTTTTAGTCAGAAAACATGGCTTTTTAAGGTCCAGTGACATAAAATGATGCAACAAACTGTAATAGCACACCTCAAGCACTTAATAATACATTAATAAAACTGCAAATATATTGGTTTCAGGTGTAATGACACAGTATATGATGTAATGTCTTCCATCCTATATTTTGTTCTATAGCACCAAAAATTAAGAATCAGTTCTTAGTCTTAAAGACCATATTACTGAAGATGTTCAAGCAATGGTAAATCAAATGGATCTCCGTTCCACCATATGACTGAATAGAGCAGCTTCAATATGCGAGGTGTCTGTTGATACCAGTGTAAGTAAGATGTAACAGAAGGCATAATTTCCATAACTGACACAACAGTAGGAATCTGTACATGTTTACATCATACAAATCTCCTTTCTTGATACTCATATTATCAGATTGGATATTATTTGGTAAGGAAATAAAGCACAATGTGTGCTCCCATGTTTCTGCAATCTGTGGTACCGTTCTTCTTAGAGATGAAATATCGGGATGTGCTACGAAGACGTCTCATGATGTAGGGTTCTGTACAAAGGTTTATGCAACTGAAAGACAAGACAAGAGTTATACAACAACAACAACAACAACAAATTATTTTCTTGCTAATCTGAAAGTATAGAAAACGTGTGAAAACAAATCTGAAAGGTTTGAGGTTTTCATGGTGGTGACTATGAAGAAAGCAGTCTTCTGGGATTTGGCACCATGTATATGTGGTGTTAACCGACGTTTCGGAGGAACATCAGTTAACAGCACATATACACGGTGCCAAATCCCAGAAGACTGCTTTCTTCAAATCTGAAAGGGTTTCGTTTGCTGACTGGATAAGTGATGAATGCCCCTCAAGAAGCTCACAATCACCTGGATCAGTTGTGATACAAGCTTTTACAAAATTGTTTAAATTGTACGTGAAACAGAATTCCTTCCAAGTAGCTAATCACATTAAGCACTAATCATAACACATGAGAAAAGTGCTCCCTTAGTGATGAGTGTTCCTTAATACGTTGAAGGAAGAACTTTTGCTACTGACAGCAAACACTGGTAGCTAGGAGGAGGAATGTCTTCTTGGATTACAAGCTATTCAGGGGAGATGACAGAGTTTCAATCAACCTTATGCATGCCACATACCTACTACATTGGCTTCAGATACTTGCATTAAAACCACCACAGCTGAAAAACTACCTCACTGTTAATCATTTACTACAGTGTTCACATGAAATAAGCCTGTTGTCTGGAGGTCATTTGAGCAAAATATTGTGGGCCTTTCTGTGCAACTGCACTTAGCATCAAGCAGCCTTGGCACTGCCAGCAAACAGTTCTGTGGAAGGATGTGGAAGGCAAAGGGTTAACTACAATGGGCACCAACCTTTCATGTAACGATTATTTTCCATCATCCAGATGTGTTCCATTTGTCTCTCGTCCTTCTCCCACTTCACTGTCAGAATTTTCTGCATTATTATTAGTAGCAACTGAAGAAGGAGCTGAGTCATCATCAACCTCATCATCATCGTCGTCATCATCGTCATCATCATTTTGTTCATGGTTTGAGATTGGAACAGTATTCTCTTGCTTTACAATTGTGATATCAGGATTATTTTCCAGGGCAGCAGTCGCCAATTTTTTTGGAGATGAAGACACTGGCATGGACATAGACATTTCCTCAAAAGAGTCATCAGCATCCCTAGATTCATCAACACCTTCATCTCCTGATGATGAACCACCACGACGCAGTGTTGACAAATAGTTGGCCAATGTTGTAACAGTTACATTCAAGATTTCTGCGGCCCGGAATAATGTTATTTCTTTTCGCTGGACCTTGGCTAAAACGTCTGCCGGGCCTGATTCAGACCAGAAGTCTCGTACTCTGCAAAAAACAAAATTTCCTTACCACAATTAACAGTGAAACTTCATAATACGTTCTTCAAAACACTACAAATATAATTCACTTTTAATTTCTATGAAGAGAAAGACCTGACTTTGAATTACTGTGTGTATATATAGTGGAACAGTTCCACCCAAACCATTGGTCAATGGAACTGCACATATATCAGTACATTACTGTCACTTCATATTTTAATATGTGTCAATGTCTCACAGAGCAATATTTGGAAGGTGCTATTGCGACGGAAACTCAAAATGTATTGTTTATAAAACCTGCCTTATTCAAATGTGGCCTGATTATCTACAAGAGACTACTAATTACTGGATGATGAATTAGGAAGGGTTTGGAAGTTGTTAAATCTCTACAAGTATCCATTTAGTATCCCATGTGACTCTTTTCGCTCCAACTTACCTATAAGGATGTTTGAGGCAGCCGTACGCGTCTCGGTATCGGCCATAGAGTGTGCCATATGAAACACCTAACAACTCAGCACCTGCTTTCATTTCCAACTCCTTGCTCTTTATAGCCTCCATAATGCGCCGTGTGAAAGGTTCTTCCCAAAACTGCTGTCTTCGTCCAGTAGTCAAATAATCATTCAGTTTAATTACATCTCTGTATTTGTCTGCCACAAGCTGACTCATCCCTGATGCTGTACCTGTCAATATGCCAAGAAACAATCAACAGTGTCTCATGGATGCAGCTACTTTTGCACACAGCTGCAAATAAACTCACCATACCTTATACTGTTGAGTTACTTCACCGCAAGACAGGTCTGATAACTGAGCTGACATAATGAAATGCTTTAAATATTCATTCTGTGAAATGGAATAAGTTATGTTAAACTTCAAACTAGATATGCTTTCCTAGACTTTGGAGATAAATATAACACATTTACATAGATAACTTAATTTCATCAAATGACATGAACACTGGCATTAAAATCTGAACCTTATTCAACAATACAGTTGCTTTTTTGTAACAACTATAATAGTGTATTGATTTAATAACAGTTCAGATAATTCTTTCACTGTTCTTGAATGGAAATGTTCAACTAAATATACAAAATGGGAGTCAGATAGCTGAGTGAGCTCAGCTATGAGCTGGCTGAGGTATGGAATGTTGGAGCTATATGTCCACTCCCCCATACGTCTTCATGGAATAGTGCTTAATTAATTGAGCACAGGACTATCTTTTTTACCATAATGTAGATGCATAGGCACATGTGTAACAAGGACGACAGAACCTGCATCTCTTGCATCTTGACAGGCAGTTTTATGCTTGCTGTTTGTATCACGGAGGGAGTGTGTACATGCATTTGTGCATATACATTCAACATATATATACAAAATAACAGACCTCTTAAAACATGGAACTTGTAAGAAATGAATCGGAAACATGAATAACACACTGAACAGCATAATGTTTTTAAATGATAGCTCCAAATATTCATCAGTTAATCTCCAAAATAGATGAGTTTTGCAAAGTCTGAGATACACAATATTTTACCATATTTGCAAAAACATTGACACTCCATCAAACAGAAAAACTACTGACTCTGAACCAATTTAACACTTTCGCTCATATCCAAGATTGGTCATTCATTAGGTCTTTATCCAGATACAATACATGACCAAGAGCATGTAGTAACATGCGCTGACAAGCCAAAATACTGTAATGTTCGTTATTATCTGGAGCAGTTACTGTCCCACTGTCCATAAGTCCTTATGTTTTTGAAGTCAATTTTTGTCTATTTACTGTTCCATTGCAAAACCATTGTTCACATACTGCTCTCACTGCTTCTTGTCACTGAGTTGGAAACTGGTTACTTTAACCACTGACTCATTAATGGCCTGTAACAACTCATGATTCACAGCACTCATTACTTCACATCTGCTTTTGTATTGCCAGAACTGAACTTGCAAGTATATCACCATGCAACTCAACTCAACTGGCCTGGGCTCATGATAACTTTACAGCTACATTTCATAGGCATGTAACCCTTCAAAATTTCTGGCCCCCCCCCCCATTCAACTCCTGTGACACCTTCTCTTTCAAAATGCACTTTGAGCAGTTGCTCCTACTCTCTGCCATTAGATAGTGCATGTATAAGTCAGTCGAGATACGATTTCTGTGATGAGTGGTCTGTTGCAACAATGATCTTCTAGCACCAGCCTAGGCGAAACACTCACTCACAGAGCTGAGCCCTTCTTGAGGAGCCGCCGATTGTGCAGCTACTCAAAAACTTTCCAGCATTTTATGGAACCCAAAGGTCATTACCGTGTTCACATGAGCCCTCACCTGGTCCCTAGTCTGAGCCAGATTGATCCAGTCCATACCATCCCGTCCTGTCTCCCTAAGATCAATTTTAATACTGTTCACCTACGTCTTGGACTTCCTAGTGGTCTCTTTCCTTCTGGTTTTCCCACCAATATCCTATATGCATTCTTCTTTTCCCCATTCGTGCTACATGCCCTTCCCAGTTCATCTATCTTGACTTGGTCACTATAATTATAACTGACGAAGAGAACAAGTTATTAAGTTCCTCACTGTACAGTACAGTACATCCCCTTTTTATTTTAATAATATTCACATCATTTTAGAGTTCTATTTTATGGGATATAATGCATGCAGTCTGATGAAAATTAAGCTATACGTGCTGCCTGCTTCACCCTGGTTTCTAGCTTGGTGTACATATTAACCCTGAGGCAATAGCTAATTTTCACTGGGCTATGTGATATTACATCCCACAAGCATAACTCCTCACGCATTAATTCGGTAGGAACAGTTCTTACAGTTATTTAGTGTGAAAAAGAATGCCACATGCCAATATAAAATGGGATTGCACACTGTCTTCAAAACAGTGAAAACATGTAGAAGACTGCACCACAAGCCCCTCCTCCCCAAGCGCACGCGCGCGCACACACCAAAGCGGATGGACAGATGCAGTCCCCCATTTGCTCTCTAAGAGCAATATTCTATTTATAATCTGCACCCCGATTCTGGAGGGTACATTTCTGAGTAAACATGTGGCTTATACACCTGTAAGTACAGCATATAAATTCTTATACATAAAGACTACTTATTTACCTTCAAAGATCGGTGTCCCAGGGAGATTATCTCCTTCTGTCATCTCATTATAGTTGGTTTCCTGAAAAGTTACATTTAACATCAATTCACAAAGTGAGGAAAACGGAGAACAAATTAAAAGAGACACTCTTAGAACCAAGGACACGCAACTGTCTCTTGAAACACATCTTCCATATTTATAGGACTGACAGTCTAAAGGACATTCACAAGCATAATCTTTACACGATGAAGAACAGCAAAGCATAACTTTACAAAGTCTCATTTATTATATATAAAAGGTAAATTCAGAACCTGTTAAGCATGTTGTGAACTAACTACAGATATTATGACATGATTATTTCTGCAGATAATGAAGTAGATTATCTTACAGCAGTGCCGAGAACAAAACGAACTTGAAGATTCACAGTTTGGATCCCATATTATTATTATTATTATTATTTGGAGGGGGTGGGTTACCCCATGCACTCCAACCATTTATTGACCTATTGTGCGTCCCCCTTTTTAATTATTCTAACTAGTCGCCATGCCCTTCCAGTATTGGTGCTCGCTATCAGCCCCGTTCTGCCAGCGAGGTCGACCCTCTCATCCCCGATACTTCCCCATCTACCAGAGGAATTGGAAACTACAGAGTGAGGCAGAGAAACTTCCTTTCTTTGAAGGCGAATAAAAGAACAATTATTGCTGATAGACAAAATTTATGTTTAGCTAATGAAACAACATACTTCAAAGTTTTAAATCATGTAGTTTTAAACAAAATGTCTTGAAGGTGGTGGCCACCGTTCTCTATGCACAGATGTAACCGTTTTCTGAAGTTCCTCTCTGCATGCTCCAACATGTGCACCGGAATTTGGGCTACTTCCTGCCGAATAACATTCTTCAGCTGAAGCAGGTTTGTGGGGCAATGTTTAAAAACCTCTGCCTTGAGGTATCCCCATAAAAAAAATCACAGGGCGTTAGATCAGGTGTGCACTGCCCACGGGATGTCACCTCGAAGCGAGATGAGCCGTCCGGGGAACTTTGCCCTCAAAACTGTCATCGAAGCTCGGGCTATGTGGGCTGTGGCTCCATCCTGTTCGAACCAGACATTTCCTAGATGCATTTCTTCAAGAGTTGGTTCGAAAAAGATCTCAAAATTGACTGTCGAACTGCCTCCACATTTTCTGGCGTCGTAACGGTCCGTTGTAGTCCTGACGATTTTTTCACCACACTCCCAGTTGTCCTAAAATTCTCTACCCACAAAACAATCGATTTCCGGTTGGGAACCAGACCTCTGGGCTTAATTCCGAAGTGAGTACGGAACGCATGCTGCACTGCCAGGTAGGAATGGTTGTTCGAAAAATAGGCTTTGACAGCAAACGCACGTTGCTCACTCGAACTCCTCATGTTTCCTACTGAGGGGTATTAGACAGAAACTTCTGTGACTGCTGCGTTCGCTGAGCATATCCCCGCTTTTCTGCGACCTCCCCTCCCTTCACAATGCGTCTTCACAAAAAGGAAGTTTCTGCGCCCCACCCTGTACTTGGGCGGGAAACTGCCTAATTTTGCTCAGAGGTCTCCTAGAGACATGAGTATGTTTTACGTGCCGTAAATCTATGACATGGGACACACGGCTTAAAATCCCTCCTGGAGGACTTGTTCCCTGAATTTTTCCACCCTTAAAAATTCCACGACCTCCACCAGGTTTGAACCCGTGTACCTTGAGTCATGAGGCGGGAACATTACCCCTAGACTATGGAGGCTGCTCTTGCAACTGGTTAAATTTCAGCATTAAATGAGCAAAAATGAGTCACTGACAACTACTTACAGTAGGCTGAGGATTAACAGTTGGCTGACGAGAGGCAGCTTCACCACTGTCACATGCAATTACTTCGGGCTCAGATTCATCCCATCCCGAGACCTCATTATCGGGATCTGACGTCCCACCTTCCTGCTGAAGCAGACATCAACTCAGTATTATGCTGGATTCTCATTATGAATGCATTACAAACAAACAGAAACAAGCAACAACAGCAGTTCTTAGCATAACTTTTGTGTGGCATTTGTAAAAGCATGTGTGCATTTATATGAGGGCATGCAGTAGCATAGTTGATTGAGGCACTGTGCTACAAGCTGGAAGGTTGTGGGTTCAATTCCTGATGAGATCATCAGGTTCTTCATTTGACTTAAATCCATCTGCACTATGGCCCTGGTGTCAACCAAACCTTTAAGAGAAATGAGTACCATGAATCTTCCTGAGGACTAACAGGTGGCTGGCATGTAAGGCTGACAGCTTTACTGCCATTTGTGAGCCAACTGTCTAGAAAATGTGGAAGCCTCGATGTCTCACAACACTATGGGCCTTCGTGGACTGTTACAGGGATAGCTTTACTTTTTTATGTGTGCTATATTTAGTCTCCACAAACAGAATAGAGTATACTCCCACCCAGTATCTAAGCACTCAGAATTTTCATTCAACTGGCCAATATTTCAAAGAAAATTTACCATTTAAATAGAATTATTAAAGAATAATTTTAGAAGCACTTATGTTCACCTGTCATGTGGCAGTTCCCCCGGCACCAGTTGTTGCACTGCCCAGTCTTCCCTCATGCAGGTGACTACAGTATTGGTTAGCTTAATTTGCTACTATATTACAGTAAATTAAATGAGAGAACTCTTTTGCCCAACAATTCACTTTTGTCACCTGAAAACCAGCAAGCTGTAGAAAGGGAAGTCACTACCTGGTTCCAACAGCAGCCCAAAGAATTTTATGCTGCTGGTTTTCAGGGGCTTGTGAAACGATGGGACAAGTGCCTCAATGTACAGGGAGATTATGTTGAGAAATAAAAGCATTTTTCAAATCAGTACTCTTATTTGCTTAATTTCTATATCCATATGTAACTAACTGACCTACCCTCGTAGTTTCTTCCACACTCACAGGGAATACTGCAAACACACTGTGCTGTCTGTTGCAGATCTCTTTCCGGCCTTGTTCTCATGAGTGAACTCCTACGTCTTTAGTTCTGAAGATCATCCTGATGTATCGATTCCCTATACGTTGGAACTTCTCAGAAACACCCTTCACATATGGGATGTACACAGAGCCCAGGGGCCTTTGCTTTTTATTTGGACAACGGCAGCCTGAGAAGTGACCTCCAGCTCGACGGTCATCCACAAGGTTTCACTTGCTTGGTCATTAAATCCAAGGGTAGCAAGTTCTTTCTCAGGCACATACACTTCTTGAAATTTTGAAGTTACTACATTACTACTACCACTCAAATGAAAGTGTTCTGAGGAATTCTCAGCGTCAGAAATTTCAACGTATTACTCTGACTGTGAATCATTTATAATTTCTGATACTGCCTGACATGCAAGATATTTTGGCCATAAAGAATAACCCAAACTTGTAGTAGCCTGTTGACTATCAACTTGTTTGGACTGCACTAAGAACTACACTGAATCATATGAGCTTACCTTGGGTCAATGTACTCATGCCTTACTTATGAAAAAAAGTGAAGCTATATGCTTCATGGTGGAGTTCCTTCAACATTTGCTTCAAGTGTTTTTTATGATGAGTTGAGAAAACCTGAGGCACTTAGAAAAACCAGAAGCATCAAGCTGCAGCCCAGAGCCAAGTTCATGACTTGTTCAAGACATGACAATGCTGGTAGCTTTTTCTAAGAATTTTTTAACATTGCGTTAATTACAATATTATTGCCAGTGTATTGGTGAGACAAGCTAGTTCACAGTAGTACTATTGCTGGACAGAGCGTGTTAATGTAGCAGTTTTGAAAACAAAGCAAACAAAAGTTTTACAGCTAAACAATAACCATGCAATTACAAATTTAATGACATGTTTCTAGAACTGGTAACACTTACTATGAAGACTTCCTCAGTGCCTCCTGCACCTGTCACACTCGCTACTTTGGGACTGAAGCTGGACACATTAGTTTCCAAAGGTGGACGCCCCCTTCTCCGCTTGAGTGGTGGCTCCAAATCTGAATTATTTCCTATGGATTCCACACGGGATACTTGGGGATCTACACAATTGATTTCATCCTCATTGGAAGGGGGTGCTGGCTGACCCTCTTGTCTCCACGACACTTCAGCTAGTCCTTTGATACGAAGATCTTCTGCAGTCTTCAGCAAAGATGCCAGATGCGACTGATCATGAAATGAAACAAAGATGTAGGAGTAGTAACAAATTAACATGACATAACAGGCAGAACTGGCTCCAGGATCCTGAAGCACAAAACCTGCAGTACTTCACAACAATGCCTATAATGTGAAGGTAGCATGAATTATAACTCATTACTCATGGAACAACGCAAAAACACCAAGCATGTAGCTTCAAGCTGTAGTGCGCCTTGTATTTGGAAGATGTCTGAACTTCTCTTGACTAGGATGCCAACTATCCTGACTAAGATTTATTGTGAGTTTCCTCAGTCCCTCAGACAAATGGCAGGACAGTACCTTAAATCAACCAATGGCCATTTCCTTCCATATCCTTACCAATGTATTACTCACTAATGACCAATTTAGGTAGAATGAAGACAGAAGTACCAAGTGCATCATGCCTCTTCTACTGCCTCATATGGAGGGGTGGGAGGAACAACACAGCTGAACTCAGTGATTTCAACCACTCTTTCATTCACTTAGTCCCATAACTCATGGTGGACGGCTGTCTAGCACAGGAGGCGAAGAATGCTATGAACATTGGTGGTAGGCAAGATAGAGTGCTCTGTTAATAACGGTGGATGTAGCAGTAGTGACAATACAGCTATAGGCATGTTTGAAAACATTGTTAATTACTAGGATATTCTGATGCAGTATACTTTTTTAAAGCTTATTGCTTAATAATGCTCTTAAGCACAACAGACCACTGTAGGTGGCAGCGCAAGGGCTGAGGAGGCCTACCCCTCATACATTCATAATGATGGTGTCAGTGTTGACTGGCAAGAGAAAACCTACTCCAGTGTCACTTTGTCCACCACAAATCCCATATGACCTGATCTCAGATCAGCCTGCTGCAGTGGAAAACCAGCATTTGACAACCTGAGCTACAGCATGGCCTTCTTGGTATTGTGGAGGATCATGAAAAGTTAAACAGTTCCATCTAGTGTGACTGGGGAAGATTTTTCCTATTTCAATTATTCATGCCCCTACATGTTTCGGACTTCAGAGACGTGTAAGGACATGAATAACTGAAATAAGAAAAATCTCCACCAGTCACAATGGACGGAACTGTTTTAACTTTTCATGATATTAGTGTGACGGACCAGAATGAAACAAATCAAATTGTGGGAGATATTTACTGTTGTGCAACTAGGCTTCTGATTCGCCACTACGTCCCTCAAAGCTCTATATCTAAGTGGTTAATAATAATTACTTCTGTTGGGAATCGTGGACTCAGTGCGACGCGATAATGCATGCGTTGCTAGTAAACACTTCCACACTGTGATGTAACAGTACAGGAGCTGCTGCTGCTGCTAGGGGCAACAGGTCAGTAAACACTTCCCCGCGGTGACACAACAGCAGAAGAGCTGTGCCAGGCAATGACAGTAAACACTTCCCCGCTGTGACATAACAGTAAATGCTGCTAGAGGTAACATTTCCCACTTGTCTGAGATATATACAGGGTGTCCCAGGAGGAATGTGCCGGCTTCGGGAGGGTGTTCCTTATGTTAAAGTATGCCGATATAACCCAAAACACCTATGTCCAAAGTTGAACGGTTACAGAGATAATGGCCCAAGAAAAGTGTGGTCTTCTGGCGGGTCCATGCACTTTACCTGTCAGCTGACTAGTCTTATCTATGTTTGTCCTTGAATGTGGTGATGACAGCTCACGTTAGCCCCACACACTCGCCTACCAGAACGCACAGTCAGCAATGTTACGTCAGTGCTTGCCATTCATGTGTCATGTATAGTGCTTGGAACCCTAACGACAACTTTGACATGGCGTGCGAGTTTCTTTGTAGTTCAATTTAATGGCTTCATGTCACTCACAAGTTAGTTTGATGTTATGTACATTTTTAACATTACAGAAACCACATATTCCTGCCTATTTTAATATGTATTCGGTAATCAACAAGTGTGTAACACCTGTCAAAGTTTCACACTTAGCCAGTAGAAGCCAGACACAAGGCAGTGTGTTGACAGAAGCCAGTGATTAGCCAGCAAGGACAGTTTGACAGTTCTACAGTTCAACATTCTAATGAGATTTGTTAACATAAAAGGAGCAACTGCAAAATGACCTGTTCCACAACATTTGCGTCATAGTTACGGTGAATTGTAGTTACATGGAAGAGTAATAAAGTGACGTCGTAAAAATACGCCCCTCGAGATCTTGTTTCATGACAACTTCATTATACACTGTACTTGGCAACTTTCAGTCTTCCTGTCCCAATATACTGTCACGTGTTTTTGACTGCACACAGGGTTTGGAATGGTAACTGGATTTACTGAAACTTATAAATCACAATTACAAGTAATTATAATGCTCTCACTAATTCATGTGCCCTACTTCTCACTACAGCACACCTTAAGTCCTCTATGTCTTCACTAACTGTTGCCTGGTAACAGATTCCAACAGTGTCCTCTGCTTACATCCTTATCAGTTGGCGACTGACTCACAACCACGAAGTGGTATTGGAAAGTTCCCACACTGTTATTGTTGCAACTGCCTCGTTGAAAGATGAGAGGTGAGGCCAAGGTCACACTTCCGCAAGCCTACTGCACCAGTCTGCCACGTGACACATGCTGTGAACACGGATTGTTTTTTACATGAGTGCTTTTTCCACTTTGTGTTTCATTTCTTCTGCGACGGATGGCAATATGGAGCAACATGTCTGCATCAAGTTCTGTGTGAAGCTCAGTACATCTGCTACCGAAACCCTTGAAACGCTTTGTGAGGCTTTTGGAGACCATTCTTTGAGCTGGGCAGTGGGTTCTGAATGGCATTCACGTTTCAAGGCCAGTCGAGTGTCAGCTGAAGATGACGATCATTCAGGGCAGCCAAGCACCAGCAAAACGACAGAAAATGTTCACAAAATTCTAAAACTCATCCACGAAGACCGTCGTCAAACAATCCATGAGCTCGCAGACACCGTTTGGATCAGTGATGGAGTTTACCAGGAGATCTTAACAGAAAATTTTAACATGCGCCACACTGCTCCTTCATCAGGACAATTCACCTGCCCATACATCCCTCAAAACCACAGTTTGTGACTAACAACAACATGATTACCTTTTCCCATCTTCCCTACTAGCCGGACATAGCCCCTTGTGGTTCCGCTTCGTTTCCCAAATCGAAAATGAAACTGAAGGGATGACATTCTGGAAGAGTGTCTGACATCCAAAGGGAAATGCAAGCAGTACTCAACAGCATCAAAGAAAATTAGTTCCATGGTGCTTCTGAAGTGTGGGAAAAAGATGGGATCGCTTTATACGTCCCCAAGGAGACTGTTTTGAAGGAGATGACAGCCACAATTGAGTAAGTTAAGCCAGCTTTTCTTTTTTGACCTAGTCTTGGAACTTTCTAATAGGTAGCACCTCATAATTAACTCAACTGTTGACTCTCAATTGCAACTCATGGTGTTCTAGCCATGATTGTCCACTCACTGGCCCTCACTGGTAGTGTGGTCTGGATATTCTCATAGAGGCTCAGTATGGCAGGATAGAAAATAGTGCAGACCGCACAGAAAACACAGCATGATAGTTGTTATTTACCAGCCACTGCATAGCAACGGCTCTCTTTCAGTCATCTCACATTATGCCCTCCTTAAGGCTGCTCGACCTGAGTAGCCTACTGACACATTATCATCTCTTCTTACGATCTGCTGGAACGTGATTTCTGAAAGTGGTCTGTGCTCTGTATCACTGGCGCCTAATCTGTCGGCAGTTTCTTCTTCCATTTGGGAGGGGGGCTGGCTTCTCCACAATGTCTCGTAGTTCATTTCCTGGAGCCTGATGGAAAACCTAACTGCCAGCTTTATAACTTCCAGCTCTATCTTAGGGGCCTCTCTGGGTGTCCTCTTGCCTCCCCAGAGTAGCTGTTGTTTTTGTGCCTCTGTCTCTTATCCAGTTTCCAAATGCCTTGTATGCTCCCATACAAATACAGTTCTTGTGTCATGCAGGAAAGGCATAGAGGGGTCATTTTCTCAATGGTGCTGGTAAACTCTTGCAGGGACTTGCCAATGCGTTTTGTTGTCTTCAACTGACTGTGATATGTTGCGACCAGGTGCTGGTCCCGCAAAGCAGTCAAGGGCCTGGTATAATCTCCTTGTATGTAGCTCCTTTAGGTACATCATGTAGGATATTGGAAGCCCAGCCCTACAGGGCAGCAAGCAGGTGCATGGCTTCATGCAGGGTGCCCTCTCACAGAATCCCACTATGGCCTCAAACTGGCAGCAGAACACAGCCCAGGATGTCGACCCATTAAATTTGGGTGCCACTGGCATCAGTTCCAATATTGCGGCACACTCCCTGTGCTGCTCAGGCCTGGGCTTCTTGTAGCTGTGTTTCAAACTCACACTGCTTCACGTGAAGTCCCTTGGTGAAACTGTCCGTGACTCCGGCTATCTTGGCCTTGAATCCATGCTCCATGGTCTCCACTAGGGTTTTTGTGGTTTGTACGTTGATCTCTGCTCCCTGGATCCTGTGGACGAGGGAAATCATGATTGCCTGTAATCCCAACTGCATTTGCTCATTATTCTTGTTAAGTTCATCGCAGAGGCCCCGTGTCCTTTGGTCAACAGGTGCCAGGGCATCTTCCGCCTGATGCTTAATGGTCTCTTCCAACATGGACTGGATGGTTTCTATTGTCACCTCCAGTCTCCTTTGCTGGCCCTCACCACGGCCTCCACCTTTTCCTGACAGTCCTCTATCTTCTCCTTGACAGCTCTTATTGTTGCTTTCATCTCTTTTTGGTAGAACTCCATCATGTTATCCTGCCTCCACTAGATAATCTCTATCCTCTCTTGGCTGTAGTCTAGCTTCTCTTGACTGGCTTACATTTCTCCTTGCAAGGCCAGCGGGTGTTACACCATTTGTTACATTTTTGTGGTATGACAATACAACTACCCACTGCAGTCTTCAATCCAGTAATTCAATTAATCCCATTTATTACACCAGCTGTGACATGTTCATGGACAAACACAGGATCTGGTAACTGGATTTACTGATCACTTACAAATCGTAACCACAATTATAAAAGGAGCCAGGACAGCACAGTTGGCATAGAGACTGGATACGGGCTGAACGACAGAGGGGTGGAGTTCAGGTTCTGGTAAGGTTACGAATTTTCTCTTCTCCATGTCACCCAGACTGGCTCTGGGATCCACCCAGCCTCCTATCCATAGGTACTGGGGACTCTCTCCTCGAGGGTAAAGCGGCTGGGGCTCCACTCACCTCCAACTAGTGTCGAGGTCAAGAAAACATGGATCCAAACATCCACTCCCTCATACATCTTCATAGTGCTTAATTATTTAAGCACAGGAACAATTTTACCTTACAAGTAATTATAACACACTCACTAATTCAGGCACCTATTTCTCACTATGCCTTCACCAGCCATTGGTCGGTAGTGGATCTCAACAATATCCTCTGCTTACATCCTTACCAAGCGGCCTCCGTAGTCTAGGGGTAACATTCCCACCTCATGACTCAAGGTACGCAGGTTCAAACATGGTGGAGGTCGTGGAATTTTAAGGGCATAAAAATTCAGGGAACAAGTCCTCCAGGAGGGACTTTAGGCCGTGGGTCCCATGTCGTAGATTTACGGCACGTAAACGATCCTCATGTCTCTCAGAGACCTCTGAGCAAAATGAGGCAAAATGTTTCCCGCCCAAGTAGTTTCCAATGCCTCCGGTAGATGGGGAAGTTATTGAGTACCAATGCCAGTAGAGGGCCGACCTCGCTGGCAGAAAGGGGAGATAGCGGGCACCAGTATCGGTAGGGTATGGAGACAGTAGAAATTAAAGGGGGATGTACAATAGACTATTAGTTGCGGTGCATGGGGAAACCCACCCCCTCTATACTGAGTAATTGAATACATCCTTACCAGCTGGCAACTGTCTCACAACTAACTACCTTACTCCCAATCACAACTCATGGCTTTCCAGCCATGACTGTCCATTTTCTGGCTGTCTGGTCTGGTTATAGCCTCAACATACACAAAAAAAAACAGCGTCATAATCACTGTTTACTGGCTGCTGCTGCGCAATGGCTGACTGTTTCAGTCATCATGTCACAATATACTGTAACTCAGTAACTCCATTTTATCACTCTCAGAGAGTAGTCAGATGTTCAGAAATGATAAAGCAATTAATGGCTTGAAGATATCATAATATTCTGTGCTAATTAAAGTATTATGTAATGTAAATTATAGTATGTTAGTTTAAAATAAATTTCACTTACATGATCAATATTAATTTCTCCTTTGTACATGAACTCCACAAGTGCTTTGATGTCAGCAAATTTAACATCTTTCAAGATTACAATGGGATTATTCTCTTCATACTGTGAGAAAATCGCATCAAAGTAAGTACTGCATGCGGACAACACCACCTGCAAAAAAAAAACACATACAAGAATATAATAAACCTTCATGCTTAACACACACCAAATAGGGCAGAAGTGGCCGCATTACAAGGGACTTAGTCCCATCCCACTAGCAATTAAAAAAAGAAGAAACAAAAAGTAAAACGAAGTTAACCATGGATTAACAAATTTTCTCAATCATCTGAGTTAAATGACAGTGTTTAATTTAAACTGTGTACAGTTTTCTGAAGATATAAATGTCACCAAAAGTATCAATAAAAATGTAAAATAAAAAAGTACCCTAAAGCAATCAACACAGATTGTGGCACTGCAGAAATTTCACATCTATGATTGGTTACATGCAAGAATTTGGGCATGAAAACATTAAAAAGAGGGGAGGGGGCCATTACACTGATGTCCCTGCTGCTAAGCAGGTAATAACACCAAATGCCACATTTTCCGAACTGGTGAGACATAACACTACAATCACTTTCATGTTGGTGGCCAATGCTAGTTGCTGCTCACTTCTATGAAGTTATTTCTGCCACTGCATCAGAGCTTATCACGCAAGTGTTGGCCACTATGAACTGGCTACAGAACACATCTTCCTTACAGTCCTCTACAACCGCATGTTTCATAACGTTTACATACTCATTTCCAATTTTTGATGAATGTATACTTATTTGGTAACACTGCCAGTATCTCAGACTATAAAGGGTTGAATGGTAGGATGATTAGATAAAAAAACTAGTGGAAAAGATGTTGAATGAAGTGGTCATTATTTAATTTCATGTATTATCTTAACATGTGACTGGAAAAACTGCAAAACATTATGGTCAGGATACTCAGTCTCCTCTTAAGATCTGAGCTCATCACCTACCACCTAGCTTGGTAGGGTTCACAGTAGTTAGTTTATATCACTTCTGTCTTTCCAAACCCCTATTCCTGGCCCCAGAAATGGGCTAAAAATTTATCTGTGACTCACCTCCCTTCCCTCTACTTCTATAAAAACTGACACTTCCCAAACTTGCTTACTTCTACCTTGAATATGGAGGCTGTATATTCCTCTGAAATGTTGGTACCTGCCTACCAGACTGCATAGTGACATGACTGTGAAGACTACAATAAAATGTAGGAAGATATTTTAATTGTCCTGGTACAAGATTTGCATTAGCAACATATGAATTTGGTACATAAAACTGCAGAGAATATGGGTCATCAGATTAGGATTAAACTAACAAACCTGCATATGGTGGGTTTTGAAATATAACAATTTTAAAATTTGCACTGATCAAGTTGACCTTCTCGACTAATACCGTGTGATCTCATTATAATATTTATTGGTCCCTTTATTCACCTACTGTTTAGCAATTTCTTTCAATTTTAAACCCACATTTTTGTCAATTAAAAAGAACTGTAAATGTTATATGTAGATACGCCTATCTGCCTTGAGAACTCCGCTGAACAATACTATTGGGTAATTCTATCGCACCTACTGGCAGACTCTTAATCTTAACACCTGAAGGGTGAGGGATGAAAGGGCCATCAAGGGGAGAAAGGGATGGAAACAGACCTACCTACTAAATACAGAATCAAGCCAGAACATACTGCCCACTACCATAATTGTGCAGTGCTCAACTGAATTGAAAAAAGGTGATTCTGTTTTGGGTCAGGTATTAAGTAGTTGCTGTTCCATGTTGCTACTGCGCCTTTAATGGTTCCAACGTCTTCCTCAGAACTCTCGACATTAGTCTTGTACTGTATAGGAGGTATTGACACTGTATTTTATCAATAATATAATGAATTCTTTTGTTTTTTCCAAAATTCTTTATTTACTGTCAAGAACATTTTAGAACAATAATCTACAATCACTTTAATATTCAAAATATAATCAAGTTACATGACTCACTATGATTATAAACAATGATGACAGTAATATAACATTTATAATAATAATAATGTAATAAATTTGCAAAAATATATCATGCATAAAGGGCGTGAACACACTTATTACTAAACTCACAGTGTTAATCTTCCTAGCCATCACCAATGTTCGGAGTTCTCTGCTGTGAGATTTTCATAACATTGATGGTACTTCTTCAGAATTATATTATTCTTTCAGATCTGCTATCATCTTTGAACTCAGTGATGGAGGACCTTCATGTGGCGGATTTTAAGTTATCTGCAGCTTGTTGTTCTGCTCACTGTCCAGCCTTACCTGTTGTCAAACTCAGGTACACAGAATGAATCCTTAAAAAATACATGGTGCAGTCCACTTCTGTGGTACTGCAGCAGAGCAGAAGCTTACTGCCAACAATCAGACAGCACGGTCATTCTTGGCATCGGGCTCCGCTGGGACCCATGGCCATATTTTTGTTTTGAGTGTAGACTTTTCTCTCCCTCTCTCTCTCTCTCTCTCTCTCTCTCTCTCTTAGTTGGTCCTCCTTGACGATAAAAGGAGTGGTTGATCTTTTTTTTTTTGTTTTTAATTGGTGTTCACTTGCTACACCTTATTGGAGAAAATGTTACATATACATCCTTTTTTACTTTTTACACTCTTCACAATATAACTGATATTAAATTTTAATACTAATATGTACAGGGGCATCTGTCAGTGTAGGAATGTGCACCAGCCTAGGCATCAATTCATTTAACAATCCAAAACAGCAGTCAGACACTTGAACGGTCATAGGCCTGACCGCCGCCAAGTTTAAGCCTCTTATATTTCCTACTGGTACTGCAGCCAATTTATGGCCTTCCCATCTATATCAACCTTCCTGCTCTTCACAAGTCTATGTCTGTTTTCATCCTGTTCCTGGCACATGAAAGGTTATACAAGGTACAAATCATACATAATTCCTACATTTAAATCTGCAGGCAAATAATTCTGATTAAAACATTCTCTAGAATGGCTTGGTGGGAGAATCAAAAAGCTCTAGATATGTTTCTTTATTTCTTCTTTCTTATATTCTGGTCATTTCACACTAAGTTTGTGACAGCTTGTTTTCCTTCTCAATAATACTGCAGTCACTTCATTCTTACAGTATTCCAAATTAATGTTTCAGTCATGTATGTCACAAGCACAAAGTCCCTGACAAAGCTGAACTTTCTCATTTTTCCTTAACAGAAAAAGAAAGCAGAAGTGTTTTTTCCTTTGTGAGTTACCAGGCTTCCTCTTTATGATTTCTATGAGCTCAGATACTAAGTTCATATTCCCAAGGGCCACGTAGATTTTGTTTACTGTTTGCTGAAACTTCTGTTACACTTCCTGGTGCACTCTGAACAATTCTTTCCTTCACCCTTTCTAGCTGGAACTTCTACATTCACAGTTGAGGTGTATCTTTCCTTCTTTTCCTTTTCCATTCTATTTCTACTGCTACCATCCACTTTTCCCTTAACCCCAATTTTCACATATACCCCAAATAACGTCTGTGCGAGCAGTAGGTCACCTTTCTTCAGAAACTCCCTTGCCTCTCACCATGTTACTGTTAAACGCTGCTATCTCTGGTTCTTGTGGATCAGCTGCAATTGTGGCTTCCCTGCTTTCTATTTATTTTACTTCAGCATTCAATCTCTTCATCTGAAACTGAAATGGAAACATGATTCTCATATAAAGTGGAATAATAAAGAAGTACAAGTACAATCATTCCCAATTCTTGGGCAGCAAATCACCACATTCAGTTGGTTCCTCTGGCTCATAATCTGGATCATTTTCTGAATCATTTGACCCTATTAATTGTCTCCCTCGTCAAGTTCTGATTCTGAACTGCCTAGATAAGGGAGATGCTTGTGAATTTCACATATACTATCATTTTAAATGTACACTGTGCAGTACTGCGTGTGTGAATTAAAACAAATGACAGATTATGAAACTGATGTAATAAATAACAAAAATGATATTTAGACTGGCCATTATCATGAACAATTAGTGGCATCTGTAGATTCTTAAAATCAGTGACAGATTTTAAAGTAAGTAAGTAGGCGGTGTTCAATATTTAATAAAGCTTCTTAAGAAGTATAACCAGTCATTAAATTTACATAAGAAGCCCTGCTAGAACAGAAAACATAATAAAATAAAATTATTATAAAACTACTCTTAAACTGTAAATTTCAACTTACATTGATCCTCAAACCTCTTTTTCTTTTCTTTTCTTGCTTGTCCAAGTCTCACAAGAATCTTCCACCTGCTCAAATTTGTAGTGGTTCTTGTTATGTCACAGACTCCACACACTTTGTCCATCAACCACAAGAGACACGAGATTCCATCATTACACGCAAGAAAGGTAGGAAATATGAGCATTACAAATTGAGGGAAAAATACATACCAATAAAGGAAATAACGACAAGAGAAATAAGAGAGCTCTTACATCTCCCTGCTATAATTACTGTTCTTGGGATTAGAAAGATGGATCAGCTTCTACTTCACAGTGACCCTTATTTATAGTCCCCCAATGTAGATACGTTGACATCTACGATAAGTGATGGATAAGTGATGGTAAGTAATAGGGATAATGTTTGTTTCACTCTAATATACAGTTCAATTTGCTGGTTCTGGAAGTACGATTTAGTTTAAAAATGTTAAAATGTGTCAGTCTGACCATATGTTGATGACATGTACCCCAGCTTTGAGTAAAGACGGTATGTGGGAGGCCAGTTCAAGATATGCAATCACTCCTAAGTTTACAATTCCACAGTCTCCAAGAATATGTAAATATGTTGCTTTAGAATAATGTTCACTGTTATGGCAAAATGCAGACATGTTACGGCATAATTTTGAAGAAGGGGTTCACATTTGTAAAAATGTATGTTAATGGAAATAAACTGAACCAGTTCCATCTCTGAAACTATTACATTTAAGATGGGATTTAAACTGAGATGTAAATCATTATGCACCATAAACACAGCACCAAAAAAAAGTACATTTCACAGAGAAAGTTAGTCTATGGAATTTTCATTAGTCTCAGAATTCTGACATTAAATGATATCACTTCATATTCATATTCATATTTTTATTGGTTCCAGATAATCATGGGACAGCATGTGTGTTTTAGTCAAAATATTCCTTTCCTTCTCTCAATAGTTTATTTTAGTATAACACGCCTACTAACAAGTAGTATGTCTGTGTCCACCTTTATGTTTGTCCTCACGTTTCAAATAAGACACTGACATTGTAAGACACCAACTGCCTGATCTTTGGAAAACTTGGCTAAAGGAGCATATAATTGGGGGCACAGCTCATCTCGGTACTCTTTAACTCTGCTGTCAATTCTGGCCATGCACATATGTTCTGTCAGTGCTCACCTTATGTGCTCTAAGAGTCTTTCCTTCACAAGCAAGTGTTACATCACAGAAACTCTCCCTCTCCAACAGCTGACTAAACATCACTTGCAGATTGTTATGGTGATATTTCCATCGAAGGCAATATTGCTGGGGCAACATCTTTTGCTGAGAATTCATCTTCCTGAAAAGTGTATTATGTTTCCCTGATGCTCCTGTGTTGGCCTTTGTACCAAACAGGGGCCAGTACTCCGCCTCACCCTGCTGTGATGAATCGTAACACACTGTCTCCTCTTCAATGCTCAACTCAGTATCCGGGTTGAAAAGAGCTTCTTCCAGAATATCTGCCTGCAACATCATCATATTGCATATGAAGCAAGTATATCTTATGTACACGGTGATGACAGCACCAGTAGAAGTATTTCTCATGCACTATATATAAAACAGATGTAAAAAAGAAGAGAAAGTACTGTGTTTGTTTTCTAAAGTTGTTGTATTAGAGTAAGCAGAGTTTCCATACTGCAATCAGATTATTATTATGATGGGAAGTCATAATGTTTTAATTATCACCATGAGAAAATCATAATTCCAAAATATCATTCTATGTAGGAGAATGCTCATTTCCTGAGCTTGCTGAACAGTCAAATTTACTGTGCAAAGTGGACAGAGGGAGCCACCGGAAGGGGCAGAAGCAAAATGGTGACACTGGTTGAGAAAGTGGAGGCTTGTGCTGTGATACGGTTCCTGAATTTGCAAGGAGTGAGGAGTTTTAAATATTCAGGAACTATGATCAATAATGGCAATAGAAATGATAATTGTGTTAAAGAAAGGACACAGGCTGGAAACAGGGGCTACTCCACAAATCTTAGTACACTTAAAAGTAAAATAATATCAAGAGCAGCTAAGCTACAAGCATACAAAACATTAATAAGACCCATTGCTACATACGAGGCAGAAACATGGACCTTAACAGTAACAGAAGAGAATACACTGAGAATGTTCAAGATAAAAATAATATGCAAATTATACCAATGATGGAGAATATATGGAGGATAAGATACAATGAGTCACAGAGAATAAGATGGTTGGGACATGATTAAAGGACGGAAGATAATGCAAATCCAGTGAGATTATTAAAAAGAAGGCTATATTCCAAAAGTAGAAAAGGAAGACCCAGGATGAGATGGCTGGACGATGTTGAGAATGACCTGACCAAAGATGAAGGTGAAAGGATGGATACAGAAGATAAGGAACAAAGAGCAATGGACAGTGGATGTAGAGGAGGCCAAGGCTTACCCAGGGCTGTAGCACTGAGTGATAGGTATTTAATGCAACACAGCAGCTCTACCTGTGGGACTCACACTGAAGGGCTGGCATTTTCAGCATGAGCATATGCTGTTTATCACCATCACACCAATGGAAGAGCTCAGCAAAAGGGTTTGAAGTTTTTGGATTGATGGCTGGTTAATAACTGTAAGTCATTTCACACCAAGTCAACACACAAGACAGATATTTCCAACCCTGCCTCTTCAGAACTAAATGTTTTTTTTTGTAAGGCAATGGTACTGATGGAATACCTGAAAAATTTTACTGCTTTATGGCCACTAGATTCTGGACAGCAGACACCTAAACTTGCCAAAAAACTATTTTTTTTGTGTGCACAAGTTTTCTTAGAAATAACTGCATAACAGAGCTCGTTTTATGCTGATTTCAAACACCTTTTCAATAACCTATTAAGACGGTACAATCAGCACAGTTATATTTTTGAGGTCTTCAAATCTGACCCCTGATCTTTCATATCTCAAAATGTAGTATTTTAATTAAAAAATATTGTGTCACTATTACTTCAAACATCTGCAAATATGAAGTTTGGACTCCACTGGATTGGGTTTTATGAAACATTTTACTGTGAAGGGTCAATTCACTAATACTTATGAGCCAACTTAGAGCAACATGTTCCTTTTAAATTCTTTACATTAAGTAATTTAGATTAAGAGAAATTAACTGTATATAAACTGGGGAATACTGTGATCTATATAGTAAGATACCTTCTTGTGAGAAAGCAACCTGCATAAAAGCAAATAAAAGGCTGCCAGTAAAACCTTACAAACCTTGTTCACATACAATTTTCCGTCAATAATGCAACTATTTATTTCTTCTTTCACATTTGCTTTCGCTATTAACACAACATGTTTCAGCCTCAAATGGCTATCCTCAGTGTCTCATTATATCAAATAGTTGCATTACTGATGGAAAATTGTATATAAAAGAAGGTTGAATATAGTAATGCAACAGGATGCTTAAATATAAGATTGTAAACCTTAAAAACATCTGAATGTGACAAGTCAGGAGTCAAATCACACTTCCTTTAGTAAAACAAATGAGGAGTGTAGGATACTTTCATTCTGGTTTTCAGAAGTTACAGATGCATGTTTTATTTCTCTCTGCTGTTAATTTGGTCCCTTCACTGGCCAAAGTGTACGTATGTATGTCTTGTTGCAGTGTCAAGCCTAACTTTAGCTGAAATTTCTGACTGATGAAGATACAGAATATCTGACATGGCTGGACATATATATCATGTGGAGGGTTCATGAAAATGAAGGAAGCTTTATTTTCATGTCATCTGATTTGTCACTGAGGGGTAGTATGCATCCTACCCACTAGAAATTATCATACATACTCAGTTTGTCACTTGAAATATGTATGTAATACAGTCCTCAAAGCTACTTCACATATTATTGGGCAAATCGCCATTTAGTCCACGCATTAATGCAAAGTCATGACATTTCAGCCATCAGGTAGGTATATATGACGACACCTGTAAATTGTTACATTGCACTGTAACACCCATGAGGGATCTACATTCAAGTTTATAACTTGAAGAGACCAAATTTGTTCCAGACATAATAATTTAACATAGTGGTGTGTATTTCATGAATGGTATGTTGGTTATGTGTGTGGACTATAGTGTCAGTTGGTATAGCACCAGGCTGCAGGATGGATGACCAAGCTTCAACTCCTGGCAGGAGGAAGACATTTTCCTCTTCACCATAGAATCCAGACCAGCTATGGGGCCCACCCAGCCTCCTATCCAAAGGGTATCAGAGGTTCCTTCATAGTGGGTGATGTTGGTGCAGCAAGCTGATGTCTCACCTCCATATAGTGTTGAGGTCAAGAAGGGTGAAGATACACATCCACCCCTTATACATCTTCACTGCATGATGTGTAATCAATTAAGTATGGAGAGAACTTCACCCTTTTACCTTTCACTTGTCACATATCTTCTGACATCTTTAAATTTAATCCTGTCTTTCAGCTCATCGATCACACAGTTCCCTGTATAGTCAGAAGAAGCAGAATACAGCTGTGTTACTTATGCCTTTCTTAGACAACATAAATGCATCAAACTGATGAGTCCTATGTGCAGATTCAGCCATTGCAAATCCACTTGATAAAAGACCCTCTTTTCCTTTACACTCATTTTCTGTCACAAAATCAAAGTTGAGGTTGGGTATACAGGATTGAGCACATCATTACAACTGACAAGGTGTCACTATTTGGTCATCATATGGCTGCTGCAAACTGGCTTGCCACCAATGCCATCACGAGCACTCTTACCATGGGATGTCGCAAAGAACTACCACTCTGCTGCCACTCCAAAGTCTTCATTGCAGCATGTTAATATTTAGTGAAATACATTGCTGCATCCTGTTGCATTGTGTAGATCTGACTTTGTGTTCCACTTCTTGCATCCATGTGCAACTTCAGTTAATATTCGCTCATCTTGTTCTCTTTGTTTATCACTACATGATTCAGCCTAATTGACAATCGGGTGTACAAGTTGTTGTGGTGAACGAATCTGTTGCTCTGCTATAATGTCATTCAGCTTTTCTCTCGTGTAAATGCTGTAGGAGGAAGGGATGGAAACAGAAGCTTCCCCAGTGAAATGAAAAGGTAGGGAGGAAGAAAAGGAAAAGAAAGAAAGAAAAAAGAAAACACGAGCACTAAGAAATTTGTACAGATTAACTTACACCACAGAAAAGAAGCTATGGTATTTTATGCCAGCAGCTTCCTGAGGGAATGGCAGATATGGCACTTCTTCAGGAACCTTGGATTTACAGGGGCAAAATAAAGGGGCATAACAAACTCAGGTGGAACAATCTTTTGTTGCACCTGAAGCCACTGTAAGGTGTTGCATTTATGTGAGGACCCATATTATTGCCATTCCATTGTTGGAGTTCTGTTCTAGGGTCATGACAATGGTGAGGATGACATATGCATGTGGAGGAGGCTGCAAGGAGTTTATTGTTGCATCAGCTTACCTCCCAAATGACTCAGACAAACTACTGCTGACCAAGAAACTGTGGGATGTCACTGATTACTGCCACAGCAGGAAAAAGCAACTCATCATTGGGTGTGATGCCAACACACACCATAATGTGGGAGCACTGGCACCAGTCCCAGAGGAGAAAGCTTTATGGAATATTTGGCAAGTTCAAACCTGAGTATTCTTAATCAAGGCAACCAGCCTACCTTTGTAGTTTGCAATAGGAGGAGATTACTGACTTCACACTAGGGACCAATAAACTATGAAACCTGGTAATTGGCATATATCTGATGAGCCATCTTTGTTGGACAACAGGTATATATGCTTTTGGAGAGACAAATTGAGTGTGAGTCTGAAGGGACAGGGTGAATGAAAAGTAGTGGCAATACAGCTGCTGACTGTGCAAAATGGATATCCCATGAGAAAGCCTCGAGTTCTGCTAGGTGGCCGTACCTCAGACGTATGCACTCAGTGCATGCTGGCACATGAACAAGCCAGAGAGGTGAACATCTCATACAGCAGCACCCTAAGACATTCATGAAGTTGGAAAAATGTTCCTGGATTAAAACAGAGGTTCACACAATAGTTGTTGTGCAAAGGAATATTGGTGTATTCTGCAGGAGCATGAGATGACAAAGCACTGCTGTGCAAAAGGTCAAAGTATTTTTCCAGGGTCAAGACACTATGCAGGATAATCAATGTGCTTGATGATTCCCTACCCCAGACAAGCAGGTGCAACTCGTGAAGTCTGTGTTGGAAGTGGATGGCAATGGACAATGTGCCAACTGACTCTGGAACTCTTGGATAGCTTACAGTTTCTCATACAATTAAAGACATCAATGAGATGTGGAAAACTGCATCAAGATTTGTTCTACAACAACCTTAACAAAGAGCAGCAACAATGACACAAGTATGCCACTGCTAACTTGCATCTGGTATGTTGCCACAATGAAGGAGATGCATTCCTGCACCATATAATTGCGCTTGGCAAAACACTGTCATGGCAACTGAGCCAACAGCACCATCTAGGATCTACATATCTGAAGGAATTCATAATGAACCCAGTAGGGTCAAAGTGATGCCCACTGTGACTTCAAATACTAACTGTGTCATCCTCCACCATATGGTCTCAGTGGGGTGGACTGTCACTGCAAAGTACTACAGAGCTTTTGTGAAGCTTCATCTGCATGCACTGGTACTCCATCATTTCTGCTACATGATAATATGCACTGCCATTTGGCAAGACTGCCACAAGACCATTCTGCATGTGGTGGCAGCAGGAAACTCCCTACACTCCAGACATTTGAGTTTGTATAACCCTGATCTGTTGCAAAAAACGAAGGAACCCCTCTGAGGTAAGCAGTTTCGCAGTATGGAGGAGGTAACGCAGGTAGTTGGGCAGTTACAATTATTAACAGGACCTGAACTGCTGATGGCACTGGTCACCCTACCACAGATTTGAGACAAGGCTGGTCACATGGCATGTAACAACAATGAAAGCAGGTACTGTTCCTTTTCAGTGTAATAAAACATATCTTGTATACTACAAACATCATTACTTTTCATTAAAAAACACACAAAATGATTTACCCACAACCATGAGATCTCAACCCAAATTTATAAATTCTGCTGATGACAGTACTACAGAAAGGCTATTTTGAGCTCTACAAAAATCACTGAACATCCCAGGCAGAAAAGATCCTCCTATCATGTCAAGCTAATGAGCATTGAGGCTGCTAATGGAACCAATAAAAGTACAATCCAGACTTCAGCAGATGCTGGAAATGCTCTAAACTGTTCAACAATCATCCCCAGCATCTCTGTAACAAGTTTACATTCAAGGACAAAAATTACACTTGGAAAACAGATAAATCTCCCTTTTGGCAATTTCCCTCAGTTTTCAACTGCAAGCGTAAACTTTTTTCCTCTACAGTTCCTCATAAATAAAGTAACAGTGGTTGGGGGTGCATGCTGGCCAAAAACCACTACCAATGATTGTCCCCAAATGCTTTCCTCGAAGCATCCGTGGATACCTCTTCAGCATACGGAGTAAGAGTCTTGTTGAAGAATGCATGCAGGTGTTAGTCATCTGCCTGAAATACAGGTGGAGTACCTATTCCATGCAACTTCCAGAATTGTGTCCTCAAAGAAAACTGTTGTTTGAATGCAGTTTCAGTTTCTGCAGTTTTTGGGTCCTTCATGTTGATGGTTTTCAAACTCTTAACCTCCTGTGCAAGCATTCATGCACAGGACTACTTTCATCCAGTTTCCATCAGTGAGGATATGGTGTTTACATTTGGGTTTAGTACAGTGATGACCCCACCCACCTTACTTTATTCACAATTATATGAATAGTTCTATGCTAGACTGTAATATCCAGAAATCTACACCATAATCTTGCCCTTACTTCTCTTCCAGACACATATCAACTCTCTTTATCTCCATGTGTATCTCAAAAGTGGCATTTTGACAAAAGATAACATAATGGAACATATGCTTATCACACAGGTCAAGTACAATACAGCAACATGACTTAAAGGAACATGGCACTCAGGAAGTATGAGGGAACCAGCCCATAATGCATACACTTGCTTCAGAGATATGCTGGGCACACAAAAAAATCTCTATAATTATTTCACATCCAGAAATTGAATACTTTCACAACTGAATGAATGGTACTTCTGCCAGTGTCAACAAATGATTTACAGGAACAAGACTTACATTAAATTTTGACAAAATAAACTTCACGAAATATAATACTAGCAACACACATTAATCTAATTATAGCTTATAGTGATACTATAATTAGGGAAGCAGGATTTAAATTCCTCAGCCTATGAACTGATGATAATCTGAACTGTAAAACAAACACTGAGGGTATTGACACCAAACTAGGTTCAGCTTGCATTGTCAGCAGGATTGCCACTTCACCCATCATGCAAGTTACTCCAAAATAAGTTTACTTTGCTTATTTCCATTTTATCATGCCATAGCCAGTGATCTTCTGAGAAAAATGAAAGAGAAATTGTTTATGGTTAATATCCAAAAGAAGCAAAATAGTGTAAGCAGTAAAAAGCCTCTCTGTAAAAGAATTATTTAAAATATGCACAATAATTCCCTTGTCAGTGCATTCTTACTGTCATCACTATTTATGGACAACATGGAAAAGTATGAAACAAATTCAAACATACACTATACACAAAAAAAGTAAACATGACTTCCTTATGGCAAACACTAACTTCTCTAAACACCAGAAGATTCTCTCTTACCTCATTCCTACTCTGTAAAATAATTAATGTTCACTGAAAATTCTTTAAGTATTGTAAATATTAATGACACAATTCCTTTGCTGATAACAACACAACATCCTTCCCATGTAGGATATCTGAAAAGAGCTGCATCAACTGACTATGTATGTTTATGTTATGTATATTACATATCCTATGCTACTGGTTTAGCCCTGTAAAGGATCTATGGAATGTACATATTTCCAATAAACCCAAATCACATGGAAGGCAAAAAAGACTGTCACATCTTTAGGCAGAGAAGTATGTGCCCAAGGTCACACTATTTTACACACTTAAAAACTGATAACAAATTTGAAGTCCCAACAATCTTAGGATTAAAACAACACAGAACATTTCTGTATTCATACACATTCCTCAACAGCAAACTGTTAGCATATGTGTCATTAAAACTTACACAATCTTTACAGAAGTAGGTACTTATGTCACATTCCACTGACTTAGCAATCCTAACCCACTTAAGTACATTAGACCAAATTGGATCATTGTACACATGCTGCACTTGCTGTGTATTTAAGATAAATATCACTATGTATCCACATGACTCAAAAAGTGAACACTACTAATTTCAACGTTAACTGTTGCACCAAATAACATATTAATACAACGTAAATTTACTTTAACATTTACTTATATATATACATTTTAACAATTATATTCTTAAAAATTACAAACACTTTCAATGAATACATTTTGGAAACACCGAAAACAACAACCTGTATGTGTATATATGACATGGAAATTGGAAACGGCTTTTAACAACCTCCTGCCTTCGCTATAATTCACATTACAAATCAATCATCATACTATATTACTGTAATAAACATACTAATAATTTTTAACACTTAATCAGTCATTGCCACTCTGCAAGCTATAAATTAAATATAACACAACAATATGTGGAACAAATTCCACTTACCAAAATGTTCCACGACTACCCTTGGTTACAGCATTCCTCTCGATATCAATTTTGGATCAAAAATGAAAATGGCGTATGCTCTATCATTTGAGAAATTCCCATGACATCAACTGTAGATTTGGCCGGTAACCTTAGTTGGCCTACTTACTGCATGGAGCGAAAAAAAAAAAAATATTCTAGACATTGCACACACAGAAGGCTAACAGGAAACCGCTACACTTACCTCTTCATTGAATACTATCTTTTTGGTCTGAGGTTCTACGTAACCCTCCTTTGACTGGCCCGCAACTCGTTCTTGATGTTGACGTTGTAACCAAATATGTCTTTTTCCTTTGTAATGGGCCTTTACGTCGTTCAACCCTCCGTGACTCACAGCAAACACCTTTTTACACAGCAAGCAATACGCTTTATGTTTTTCACCTTTCACAGGAGTTAGCCACGACGAAAATTGATCAGACGTCGTCCAATCCGAAATAAATTTGCACAGACGCCGTCTCTCGCGTCTCGCCATGTTTGTTAATTAATGTTAGAGGGGAGTTTGCGCTTTTACCTTTTTAAAGCTGTATTTTTATTTAAACCATAAAATATTTTAACAGAGCTACTTTGAACCGCCCCTCAAATATTTTTTAAAACAATATATAAACCATACGCTTTGTACAATATTTAATCACACAAAAAATCAAGTACGGCACTTCCAGCCTGACCTTATTTTTTCTAAAATTATCACTGCACATTTTACCTCCCCCCACTTTTAAAATTCTAAGGGTAGCTATTTTTTTTAACAATAATCCCCAAATTATTATTTTTCTTTTAATGTAATGCGTTTAACTGTGGGAAATCAAGGTTTGACATAAGCATCGGAACCTGCACATTGCTTTTGTACCGTGACAAGAAAATTATTCCGTTCGGTCATTCACCTTTGAATCATAACTGAACTTTTCCGGTCGGTGTTGGCGGTTTAGCGTTGTCGGAATCTTATTGAACGGGAACTTGTAACATATCGGCACAAATATCACTGAAGAATATTCGCACCAAACATATCTATAAAATATCGCGTATTTTTAATTATCTTACCTTTAATCTGAAGCAAATATCTGAGGCATAAATAAAATTTTATTATACATATAAAATTAAATATTACATTATATTATATAGTACTTATATAATTCGGTTTATATGATTGCAGTGAAATACATTTGCTTATAAGTTTCATTTGAAAATAATTAAGGAAATCTCGCAATTTGTGTACGTAATATTTAATTAGAATTTATGGATTTCTTATATAAAGGGAAATTACATTACGATATGTGGTACTACTGCTAATGTTGAAAAGCATTTAAGTAGTGAAACTGTTCTGCTGTGATTTCTTGGCTTCTTTGGAAATAAAGCGAAAAGGAAAGCACCAAGAGGGCTGGCAGGATGGTGACCAGCGACCAGAACTGGCTACGTTGAATAATTTACTCAATAGTTCTATATTGTTCTATATTGAGTGTTTGGTGGTTATGTCTACGGATACACAACTTCAAAGCCAATCCGGAATTCGTTATATACGTGTGAATGTTTGAAACAGTTGTGTGTAGCTTCTGTGTGAAAAATGGTGAGAATCAAATCCAGAATATGGGATGTATGAATGACAGCGCTAAATAAATGAAAAGATTAGGACATCAGACGAAAGTCACAGAAACTTATTTAGAGAATTAGAAATCTCAGTACTTATTATCTCTTATGCCCTTTGTGATAAAAAAACAAATTTGTAGTAAATTTAGAGATTCATAGAATAAATACCAGACAGCAAAATAATCTACATCAACGTCTTGTAAATTTGAGTAAATATCAAAAGGGAGTTCATTGTTTAGGAACAATGGTCTATAATAATCTACCACAACATATTAATGATATATCGAGTGACACTAAGAGTTCTGAGGTACAATTAAAACAATTTTTACATTTACATTCTTTTTATTCATTACAGGAATATTTCTGTCATAAATCTTTTTAAGATGCAAGTAGCTGTCTTGCTTTACAGTTAAAAGAAACAAAAGTTTGTCAGTCTGTGTTCTGGTTTTAGTTGCCTATTTTAGATATACACAATCTTTATATCACTGTATACTAGTCTTTATTTCAAAATATTATACCATTAATGTATGTTATACAGAACTCATTAATGACATTGTGTTTTAACTGTTGAATTTTTAATTAATAGACATGTATAAAACTGTACAAATTGTATAAGGTTTGCCATTACTTTTACTACTAAAATTAACTTATTTATTATATTGTATATGTTTATCAGTATTTTATTACAAATGTGCATGCTATTGGATGACAACTGTAATTCTTAACTGTGACTGTAACTAGGACGATCTCCACATCCGCATGAGAATGTATTCTCGACAGGATTTATGGAAGGTGAATAAATGAAATGAAATAAGTTGATAAAAATGTGGGTGGGGGTGGAATTTGTTGTAATGTTGAACATGGAGATAAAGAATAAAGGATAAAAGGCCAGATCTCGGCACTCGTAAGAAAATATTCAGATATCTCGAGAACTGAAATGGGTCACTTTGCTGGGTTTGTATGTAGAATTTGAGGTTCTCACTGTGATGGTTATGAAGAGTACTGGCTTCCGGTATATAATGGTGTGTAGTCCGTTGGAAGCCAACCTACATTTTGGAGGCTCATTTTGCCACCATCTTCAGGGTCGAAGAATAAGCCATGTAAGAAAACAGCGTGAAGCTATGTCCGCTTGCCACCTACTTTCACACTGGTATCTTACTATTCAACCCAGAAGATGTAGGTGATGTGTTCCCCCAAAACGTCATTTGACTTTTAATGGACTGCATGACATATCCCAAAAGAGTACTTTTCATGTAATGCTAGCAGGGTGCGACTAAGTCCCTTGTACTGCAGCCACTTCTGGCCTATTGTACCATACTTTTCATGTAAGTAGAAGTTGAAAAGGCAACTGACATTAGCTGTGTATATTTCATGCTTGAAGTAAGAATTTTTGGAATTGCTGTTACAATACACACCCCCCTGAATGTGAAAATTAGTAATGGTTGTGGGTCAAGCATGACATTAATTCCCGGTTTTGGGATTTTTAAGTTTATGGTGGAAAGTGAAAAGACATAATTTTGAGAGATTCTTGTGTACTGTGATTAAGTACTGTAATTGATGGACTGAGTTAGTGGAGGTATATGTTATGTCTTATTTTGAGACCCTTGAACATAACTTTGAAATTTTTATTGGATAGGCACATCTTGAAATATCCACTAGTCTATGCATCCTGATTGAGTCATCTAGTGAGTTGGTGAATTTATATGTTATATGAGCTGGTAAAACTCCCTTCATTTCATATCTGTCTTCCTGATATAATCATTGCTGTTACTTATAACTCTACTCTGCTTGGGGATAGAACAAAATTGAGTGATGGGAATTTAAGTCAGCTGCCTGTTCCCCCCAGGCTACCCAGTTGCATGTCCCCCCTTAAACACCAATAACAAACCAAGAACAGAGAGAGAGATTACAAATGGTGATTTGTGGAAAAAAGGGAAGGCACTCAAAGAGCAGGTAGCAACAAAATATGTGTTGAGACTTTCCATGACCTAGCTGTGGCTGACCTTATGTGTGCTGAGAATGCAATAAAAAACAGTTGCTTTACAAAGAATAAGGTCATCTGAGACTCAAAACTGGTCTTCAGATATTGTATATATTTCTTAGCCTGTAATAAAGTGCCCTCTTGGGAAGTGAAAGTCATTTCATTGTTGTTTATTGACCTTGAGAGTATTTGTCATGAAACTTGAATGTGGCTTTTGTGCATTTACATTTTTAGTATAATTTTTAAACAGCTTTAATCTCCTTAATGAGCTGAATGGGGTTCATATTTTAGTGTTGTGTTCCAGAACTGATTTATTGTTTTATCTTGTCTCTTTCAGGATGTAGCTGCATTTTCTGATGATAATTTCCAAGTAGAAGACTGGATTAATAAGACATTCAAATTTGCTGAGGCTCAGGAGAACAAAGATGTAAGTCCTATTTACTATTTTTAAACATTACTAGTCTCCATTTCTGAAAAGAGAAAAACAGGAGAATTAGAGTACCTCATTTGCCTTAATAACCATAAACATGATGAGATTAATTTGGTTGATTAAACACCTTGTAATAAAACCAAAATGATTCCATGTCAAATCTACATGGCCGACTACCTCACTTACTTTGATTTTAAAGAAATGTGAGCCCTCTCTGACGAGAGGATGGGTCTCTCTTTTGTCAGAGTCATTGTCTGTAGTAGTAAGTCATTTGTAATATAGTTCCACTCGTTGGATAGGTCTTGTCATGTAGCCTCAAATCAGACAGCACGGAAAACGCAGCTCGTCCTCATTGCATGGAAGGGGGGTGTCGTCGGGATATGTGACATCACTTGTGGAAATGCAGGTCACATGACCCCTACTAACTACTGCAGTATGACGTCATTGCGCCTGTGCGGAAGTCTTGTTTACCGGCTGGTGCTTAGAATAGGGTTACATAACCTTGTTCCACTGTTGCGTAACTTAGCAACCGACTGTTTATCAAGAGTCTGTCTTCATGGTAACTTGTTCCACATCCCATCACCCAACAATGGGTTGACATGTCACAGTGCTCCACCGGTCCCTTTCTTCCAAGGGCTGTGCTTGCAATGTCTTATTTTTCTCTGACTTGGTGTTTCTTTCCTTTCCGTTGTTCATTTTCCTACCGCAACATCTGCGCCCTCCTTAAGGCCGTCTCCTCCTGAGTGGTTCATTGCTAAGGTGCCAGTAAATCCAGGTGTATCACCATCATCCAAAGTTCTCCCTCTCTTTAGTGGGGGCCATAACTCCTAGAGTGGCAGGTGCTCCCACTCATCTGGCTACTCTTACGCTAATGTGATGTCATGTCGCCTGGTAGATGTTTGCTGATATTTTGGTGGAGTATATTGCTTCAGCAGTTTCTATGCTATTACTGTTTCCAGATTTGAAGCAGGTAAGGGTGAGTTACATGGTTGTAATTGTGTGCTGCTTTTGTTTTTAGGCATTTGTGTCATCTCTTATTATGAAGTTGCAGTTGTATGTGCAACAAGTGAACAGTGCATTGGAGGATACAAGTCAACAGGTACCATTACTGAGAATCTCTGAACTATATAATTTTGTCTTTTCACGTATGGTATTTATACTGGACTGTACATAATTTATTTATAATTTAACTTAAGTAGTGAATTACAATATACTTCCATTTATCTGACTGTACAATATCTGGTTTGAGGCATGTCCAACTGGGTCCACTCGGCACAGCGGCCACTGATTGGCCAATTGTACTTGCCCCGGGTGATGGGTGATTATGAGAATTTGATGGAATGAAAATTGACGGGGGAAACTGAAGTACTTGGAGAAAACCCACTCCAGCGCCACTTTGTCCACCGCAAATCCCACTTGACCAGACCCGGGCTGCTGCAGTGGGAAGCCAGCAACTAACTGCTTGAGCTATGGAGTGGCCTTAAAATTAAATAAAAAAAGCTGAAAGTTAAAATTTGTTAAAATATTAGAAATGTTTTTAAATCGACATGTGTAATAACTCCAAGTTTTCCATGTATTTTCATCTTTTGGGGAACACTACAGTGCACATTTTTTGCAGGTTTCTGGTATAGTTCTATTGTTGGTGTTCCTTGTGTATTGATGTTCTGCCAGCAGGTGTAACTACCTTTATTTGTAGATTTTTAATGAGTTTTGTTGTCACTGTAACTTATAATGGTATGTACTCTATTATGTTTTATATTATTCTAGTGCAACTGTCTGGTAATAAATGTTGTGCTTATGTGTGGTGTCTGTGGTTGTTGAGTGAAGAGCGTGGTGATTTTTGTGTTAGGTTTCTATTTAATTTTAGCTGGTGCTTCCCTCAATATGGAATTGATGTAGTGAAACAGCTTACATGTAAGATATATTGAGGATACCCTTGTAAGGCTGAAACATCTTGTATAAAGTGGTTAGTTTGTGAATGAAATGTGATGGCACAGCAGTAGTCAGGGAACCATCAAAACAGTACGAAGACTGCATTAGTAAGACTGAGAATAAACATCAAGTTATCAATCAGCGCAACAGGATCCTTAAACATAATATTATGTTCAGTATGCTATATCCATAAGCTTAGGGTTTTGAGGATAATTGAACAAATTGGATGCTGTGCATCCATATCCAAATTTCTCTATTCAACAATCGTATGTTCACCCCATCACATAAAAATTTGTATTATATGTGTTTTTTGTTGTTTGTATGTCTTTTCCCTTTCATTAGAATTGATAGTTGGCAGAATATTTGAATATAAAGTTCAAGAATAAATTAAATTCTCTGTAATAGCGTGTATAAGACGTATTCAGGAAAAGTAATGAATTATAGGTACTCCAAAGCCTGCCTCGAGTGATGAGAGACACTGAAATACTTCATCAGGAAGCATTATTGCTACGTGACAAAATGCATTCAGTGAAACAGGAAATTGCTAAGGTATGTGGTTCAGCATACCTGTTTATTAAGGGATATGTTGATTTGGCATGGCATCATGACTTAGATTTATTGATTGAAGACTCTTTGCATTTTAATTGATAATACAGGAATTAAAAAAAAAATAAACGATGTTTTGGTGAAATGTTTCCTTTTTTAAGACACTGGGGAAGCAAAACACAAATTATGACTAATAAGACTTACACACATCACATATAGCACTAAAAGTTAAGTCCAGAACTTCATGACATGTTTTGATCTACATGATAACTTCACAGAACAGATTACACTAAAAGTTATTATAGAATTTGGGTTGGAAAGTGACTAGGGGTGAAACAACATTGGTTTTGGTGGGAGGAAAGTATTAAAGTGGATTTTAGAGAAAATGGTTGACTCTATGTAATTAGTTTAAGGTCTTTAAGGTAATTTTAACTATTGTAATTATTTTAATTAACTGGAACGTGGCTATTTTTAACAAAGTGAAGTTTTGTGTGTTGGTGATTTCTTTTTCTACTATAAATGCCTCTGATGATGGCTCCGTGGTGAGCCGAAACATGTAAGGCAGGTGGTGACGAGGTGGAAAACTTAAAAAGTGTCACATTTGACGGAAGGAACTTGATTGTTGATTGTTACTATGTAATTAGTTTAGGATATGGTCCAGTAGCGCAGGATCTTGTGAATTTGAAAATGAATCATTGTGTTGGTAAAGCAAGGGGAATTTCTTGGCAGCAAATACTTATCCACTACTGAAGATAAACCCTAATATTCTGAAGGGTATTAGTTCATGCAGAATCAGAATAACAAATTTTAATGTAACATAGAACTCAGATAGTAGACATAAGAAAGTCACATTTCCATACATTATTCTTTCAAAATATTTGAGGTTCTCATGATGGAATATTCAAATTACAGTTAAGGTCGACCTGTGCACTTTTTTTTATTGCTAGTGGGGTGGGACTAAGTCCCTTGTACTGAAGCCACTACTGAACTATCGTACCAGCCCCAGATGATAGGTGAGGGTGATTGTGGAGCAATTGGTGGAATGAAGATTGGCAGGGGAAACCGAAGTACTCGGAGAAAACCTGCCCCAGCGCCACTTTGTCCACAAATCCCACTTGACCAGACCTGGGATTGAACCTGAGCCGCCGCGGTGGGAAGCCAGCGACTAACCACATGAGCTATGGCGCAGCCTACCTGTGCACTTAGTCAGTTAACTAATAAATCCTCAGTATAATCAGATTTCCCAGACTTGAACATAAACGTTTCTTTCATCTGTCTCCAGGCCTTAAGAATATACCCAGATGCCACATAGGCTCTGAATTTACAGCACAAGTGAGAGACTATATATTCCATCCCTTGCTGCCATAATGTAGATACAGTCTTGTCCTGTGCCTGTTAGAAGGAGCTCGGTCGCTGCTTCCCACCATTTCCCTTTAGGATGGAAACAGAGCCAGTTTTCAGAACATTGTGTTCTTTCAGAATACTAGATGATGGATGCAGTCAGTAATCCTAAGTGTAATATACTGTCATGAACCCCTTAGAATTTATTAGAGAGGCAGTTAACCATGTGTCTGTCAGAACAACTCTCGTGTTGACAGTATAAGATTTTCTTTCAGTAGGAAATGCACACTGTTCATTTTTGTATTTACTCTGTTTTAGGTTGAGCAAGACACAGGACAGTCCATGAAAATCCTGGAGCGAATTGACACATTAAAAACAGAACTTCAAATAGCAAAACAAGCTTTGCATGAAGCGGACAACTGGACTGTGCTTGCTACAGATCTGGAAGAGGTATTAGTAAATGTTCGATAAGACTGGGAGAGAAGAGGCTAATCTATAAAGAGAATTATCTTCCAGGATATAATGCTGTATAGCCCAGAAAAGGTAACCGATGTTTTGAAAGAACATATTGCCCCCATCTTCAGGGCTGGAGAGTAAGCCAAGCTTGAAACAGGCAGCAACCTGAGGAAGTCACTTGCTGAAGAAACGGGAGAGAACTTGCAGGCCAGCCCGTCAGTTGCCATTGGCTCTGTCTGAGAAGCAGGTTTAACCAATGACAAGAGTAACTAGGCTGGGCTCTGAATGGGGCTGCTTGTGCATTATGGGAGCATGGGGAGGGGGGGGAGGTCATAAGTGTGGGTTACAGGCATGCTATGGGGGAGACGAAGAGCAAAAACAGGAGAGGGGGGTCAAGAAAGGAAGGAAAGGCTTGGGGTTGTTTGGTGGCTGGAGAGGGTGTGGTATGTGCCCCAGTAAAGAAAGTAGTGTGCATGGACATGCATGACCCAGTATAGAACCTATCTAGAATTCTGTGAGAAAGGCTTCCTGTGAACTCTCAGGCAGGATATGAAAAGTTTCCATGTCTTATGTAGACATAAGCCATCCTGTCTGTTCATATTATTTGAATGGAGCTCAGTCTGAATCCCTGTATGATGGCACAATCCATATGTCTGGGTTTGATGTGAAAGATGCTGGTGACCCAAGCTAATGCTGTGCTCTGCCATGGCTGGCCTATATGGATGTTCCAGCCAGAAATGGCAGTGGTACTTCTTCAACCTAGTATTGATGAAATGTCCTGTCTGTCCAGTGTGTACCTGATCACACTCCCAGGGGATATTGTATACTCCTGGTGTCCACAGACCCAGGTCATCCTTGACTGTGTCGTATATTGGGACAGTTATGTCGTTGTACAAGGTATTGTTATATGGTCATTTTAAGTATGGAAAAATCATGTAACTTTTTGGTCGGTATAGTTCGCTTGTGGACTACAGTCCATGGAATTTAGTAACTTTTGACATGGATTGTATAACCAAAAAATTGAATCTTGGACTTTCATCAATATTACTTTCTCAACCACCAGAATTATCTTGTTCTGATGTCAGAAAGCGGAGGAGACCCTTGACACTCCCGCTGTAAAAATGTTCCCTATATAAGAACATCAATAAAGGTCTTCTGTGAACTTCCCATGGCTGTCTCCTGCCAAGAACTCAGAACTGTCAGAGTCAGAGTTACTTTACGACTGGCAGTTTACCGCCAATCAGTTTGTCTTCATATCAGGCCCCTTGAGGAATGTAACATGCTCTCTGACGAGATGATGGGTTTGTCCCTTATGAATACTCTTGGCCTTTCGTCAAGAGTATATTTCTCACATATAACATGTTATTGAAAATTCTTCCTTTTGCACTACATACAAGTCCTCTGTCGGTACAGGCTTTACAGAGTAGATCATGCCTAACTTGCATATCTTATGATACAACAGCTTAGTCATTTGAACGGTTATAGGTTTGACCACCGCCAATTTTAAGCCTCTTATATTTTACTTGGAACTGAACTACTGAATTGCCTTATATAGGCTTGGCACTGACCACCCACAGAAAACACATCAAGTGCTCAGTAACGGATATTATTTATTGTCATGTCCACCCATGTATTGCCTAGCAATGGGTGCCCTATTGTTGAGCATTCGTTACTGTGATATATGTTTACCTGTCTGTTTTGCTAGCAATGCTTTGAGCAAATCTGTTACAGTATCTTGCCAAAGGACCAAGCTACAAGAGAGGATTATTGAAAAAATATGACATTTTAGCTTTCAACCTGTGCTAAGAAATGCAAGTTGTGGTGCAATTGTTACCTTTCTTCTGTTTTAAGGTATTTGAATCTGGTGATATAGAAAGTATTTCAGCAAAACTTGTGAGCATGCAGCAGTCTTTAAGGATCTTAGCAAATGTTCCAGACTATGAAGATAGGAAACTTCAGTTAGAGGGCTTGAAGAACAGGCTAGAAGCAATGACAAGTCCACTGTTAGTTCAGGCTTTTACTTCTTCATCTGTTGGTAAGTACCCTAATTTTTACGTAGGTGACCAAGTCCTCTTTTATCTTATGTAAGTTCATACCTCCACAGAGTACCCGTTAAAATTGCTCCATCTGTCTTTTCTTACATTAGTACACACACACAGCAACCTGAGAATAAATTTTTTTTTTTTTAAGATTTGATATTTGAGGATTGTGTGAACAGTTCTCGAGAGACTTCATTTTTCACTCATAAAATAATGCACACATTATGTGAAGACTACACATGTTTATATGTGTGTTAAGCATCAAGCATAGCTAGCTAAATATTGGAGCAAAAAATTTTTTGAACAGAAGTTGTGACTATTTTGAAGGAGATGGCAGCCAAAATTGAGTAAGTTAAGAGCAAGGTGACAGTGGCAACAGTGGGTTGGGAAATCATGGACCACCCTCCTTTCAGCCTGACTGTTCCAAGTGATTTTTGTTTGGTTGGTTCAGTGCAGGTGAACCTAGGAGGACAGAAATTCAAACTGCTGAACTTAAATGCAGTGACCTGGACTGGCTACACAGTCAGATATTCTTTTTGTAAAGAAATGGAGTCCAAGCCAACCTTGAACTGCCCTTGTGTGTGTGTGTGTGTGTGTGTGACGTTATGAAAAAACTACGTGTTCCTATTAAATCCAAACATTTTTACATTGTTCTTTACTGGCCAAATTCCGCTTCCTTACAATATGCAGTAAACTTGATAATGGTTTTGATATTTTCCACCTTTATTTAGATGTAAGTGAATATAACTTATGGTGACCCTCATAAAAGTGAAAACATTGGAGGAGGAAGAAAAGTTATGGCTGATTTAGGTCATTTGAATTCAGTTAGTTGCTAGTGATTACTACTGATACAGGATACATGTAATCTTGTTGTCTTATGCTTGCCTTTCCATCTAGAGAAGAAATATTAATTCGATTTTCAGAGCAATCACGGGTGTTTGTGAGGATCTTCACAGCAATAGACCGCCTTCCACAACTGCTCAAGTATTATCACAAGTGTCAGAAGGGGGTATTGATGCAGCAGTGGCAAAATTTGGTAGAGACGGAACAGGATGAAGGGGTTGCAGAATGGATGCATAAGTTCTATGATATACTCCTGTCCAATTGGCATGATCAGGTTTGTGTGCCCTATGGAAATCAGGAGTTTTTATATTTCATTGTAACAAGACATACATGATGAATAGGAACTATTTTGAAGATTTTAATTTATTTCTGAATGTAATACATACTGTTGTCAAGTGGTATGAGAAGCAATCAAATCAAGTATAGACCTTCTTATGTCATTCATTTGTTGAGATTTATCAAAAAGTCTCAAGTGGTACCATAACTGTGTTGTACTTAAGAGGTACCCTGTTCAGTTCCCAGGCACTGGCTATCTTGGCTGAATTTTAATGATTTTTCTCAGTTCTTCACATGAAGTACCTGAATAGTATCATGAAATGAGCTGTGACCGCCTTGTTCCAAGTCATTTCCATTTAAACTACTTAATGGTAATGTTACCTCATTCATTGAACTTTCTAATGGTTTTACTCACTTCCTCAAGGCAGATATTTTGATAATACATTAACATAAGGAGTATCATTCACAATCAGCTGCCTGTTTGATGCTGTAGGTGCTTCAGAAGGCACAGTTCTTTTGAGGCTTGAACAGCTTCTTTTAAAGACTGCTCTCTTTGAGTAAACAAGTAATTTAGCAATTGTCATAACCAGGGCCCGGATTTGATGACTTGAAAATATTTAAAAAATGACCTATAAAATGACCGAAAACATCCAGAAAAATGACCTAAAGAAGAAAGAGAAAGAACACTTTGCTTCCATATTATTCACATTTCTGGAAACATGAAGAAAAATTCATTAAAATGGCCAAAAATGACAAGAAATACCCTTAAAAGTAAAAAAATTACCCCCAAAATGAAAAAATGGCTATAAAATTTACATTTCTGTAACCAGCAGCTCATATCCGAGATATATTTGAGAGCATCGCACAGGATACAAGGAAAAAAAGATGACATGTCATCAAAATCTGGGCCCTGGTCATAACTGTTGTGGGTGGTGCAATGGATAACACATTCATCAAAGTTATCTATTTCAGTTATTTTCATAGGGACAGTGTCCTTTTTGCCAGGCATTCCAAATGAAGTGCCTTGTTTCTCATGTTCTTGGCCTTTCAGAATTCATCTAGTCCTTTCAGACATTCCAGTAGTTCCTTCCACTTTTTTTGGACCTTTTATATTTCTTTAAGTGATAGTGGCAAAGTCTATTTATCTTCAATTTTTTTTGCCTCATATTTCTTAAAATCACAAACGTTTGCGACAGTTTCTCTGCAGTGACTGTGTAGTGTGCTGGAACCAAATTTGGAGTGAACAGGTGGCATGCTGTTAACACAGCAAAGTTATGAGAAAATAACGTTAGGCCTCTATGGTGCTGCAGTGGCAAGGAATGTACACACTGAAATGCGTGGCTAATTTAATTGATCCATTCCCTCTTTCCTTCCTTCATTCAGTGGTGTGCATGCTGGGCTCTCCCAACAAGGTCAGTGGCCAAACATGCATGCAGGTCTTCATACGAAGTGTCTTAATTTTATCTGATGTTAACCAAATCTCATGAAAATCCATTCATCTTCTTATGTATTGTTTTATATATACAGATGGAGGTAGTGATTTTAGTTTCATGTATACACACAGATGAATGCTGTATTTTAATAGTACTCCACATGGTTGTGAACATGCCTAAATAGGGCACATGTACTGAAATCTCATGAAGAGAATAATGAATTTGTATTACACAGCATGTAGAAATAAAACTTCATAACATTTTAAAGTTTACATAGGCAGAAACAAGTGTCCATGCAAGTACTACAGAATTCTTTTTTTTTGGCAGGTTAAATGGTGTTGCCAGGTGTTTACATCTGCGTCAGTAGCCAACACTCTTATTGAATTATACGCAGACACACTAAAAAGTCTGGATCCCAGTTTCAGTGCATGTATTGATGCAGCATTGAAGCAGCAGTCTGATCAGTTAACTTTTTTAATGGATCTTCGGCAGATCACCAAGCACTTTGCTGTGAACTTGCAGGTTGCGGTCGATTCTGCCAGTCAGGGTATGTGTATGTGTATTACTGTGTACATATTGCTTTACATACTCACAGTCCAATTGTAAAAGCCAGTGCTGGAAAAATACAAAATACAGGTTTCAGGAAGTTCTTTTAAATAACTATTTCTTATGAAAATGATGACAGCTGATGACAGAGAAATTACTGTTGGAGGATCCACGTACCAGAAGAATTAGTACTGCCTGCAGTGCTTTTTCAATACTCTTATGTTACCATAATCGCACCCTGCATTGTTCCAGTTCTGTTGTAAAGCGAGGTACCTTATCATATTATTCAAACACTTTTCCCAAAGTTTTGTGATCAGGGACCAGAATGTGATTTACATGAAGATTTATGGTAATTGTCAAAGTATATATCACTGTCTAATCAACATAGCTATTAAAGTGAAGAAAATTTCCTTTGAAAGCTGGGTGGTGTCTGTATAGAGTTAACTGGTAACAACTACAAAATGTTTTGTTTTTCACTAAAAGTGGAAAATTATACATGGTTCATATTGGGTTCTGGCTGGAACCAGAAAGATCCTCATTTACCATAGGATTTCACTAAGTACAGGAATAATAAACCAGGATTTCATTGTATTTATTATGTAATAAAGAACTGGGATTTTTTCAATCTTGCCTACTCATAATTGTAATAGCTCATTTCGTAATGCAATTAGGACAGCCAGGAAGTGATTCTTGGCATACATATTGTGAATTTTACTCTTCGCTTAATGTGTGAATAATTTGAGAAGCCAAACAGTTGGTACCTGGGGATAAAGGTGGCTAGAGAATCTAACATTTTGGTTTTGTGTTCAAATGTGCTGGAACACTGCACTGTTGATTGCAACCAGAACACACTGTTTATATTGGCTATGCAGAAGAAAAAATCCTAACACTGGGAAAACGTTACATACTAATAAATTTTCATCCATGGAAATAGCTGGTGCATGTACACTTGGAAATCACTGGTGTAAGATGTTCTACAGGAGGGTACAGTGATGTTTCTTGTTTCAGGTAAACCAGTTAATAAGGAAGGACTGCTATTACTGGCTCAGTCTGTGTATTCTCCTTATGTGGCACATGTGTCAAAATATGCACACTATGAGCAGACATATCTAGTGCAGCAACTAACAGTCCTGGAATGCAGTAAAACTGACCTAATGGACACAGTACAGAGTCTGGGTCAGTCTACTCCACGAGCCATTTCAATAGCAGTTGAGGCTAATAAGAGATGTTTATTGTTCACGGAAGGTTGTGGGTACTGTGGCCTCATAAAGGCTCTAAAAGTAAGCATGACTGGAATATATGATATATTGTTACAGTGGCAATACATCTCATTTGTATTTGGGAGGTACGTGATTTGAATATTGGCTGGAATAACTTGAAGCTGTCTTGAGGTTTTCTCTGTTTTATTTCACCTTCATGTTGCATGAATAATATCGTGAGATGGGCCACGGTTTCTTCCTCTGCCTTTCTTTCTAATTCTCCATGCATGTTTATCCTTTTATCTTGACACAAAATAACTTCTGCTTTTGGTACAGCATTTTAAACAACCTTACTAACTTCAATTGTTATGTCTTAATTTCTTTTTTTCAGCACATCACGCCAAAATAAGATGAAGCTGTTTCTTCTCCGTCTTAAAAATGTCACATCTATCTCCATTGCCAAATCAACTGTGACTCACTAACAAACACATTTCTCCTTCAAGATTTATCTCAATCATCAGATTGTGGTCTTTTGGCTTGTGACACTGTGTAATCATTGAGGTGGATACTGATGTTTCAGAGGAACATGCTGCCTCCATTATGAGGGTGAGGTGTGTAGTGTGAGGAATAGGCTTGGTTTCCATAGGCAGATTGTAAGGAAGGTGGTCACCCAGATCCATGGGAGAGGGTAAGGAAGTGGAACCCCATCTGGACTGGTGGGAACAGTGTTCAGAAAAGACCTGTTGAAGCACACTATGTTTTTCATTGCCAGAGAAAAAAATGTAATTAAGAGAAAACACCATCCATTTCAGGGCTCCATATTCTCCTCACAGGAGGGAAATGAAAAACGATGATCCTCCTGTTGTAGTCTGCCTATTTAAGCCAGACCAGGTCCCAAGATGAAGGCAACATGTTACTCCAAAATTTGAGTATCCACCTATGAGACCACATGGGGTCAGTACAGAAGACCACAATCAGGAAAATCACTGGTGTGAAAACTTAAAATAATTATATTAATTTTGACCTTTTGCTCCTAATTTAGTAGAATACACAAAAATTAAAAGAACCCTGCTTTTCTTACAATAGTAAATCACAGTAAAATATAATTTAAGATTTAAGTATCTGGAAACAAGACTGGCCTGATAGCAGCACACGGTAGTGCTTTAAATGGAATGGGCAAAGATTTAGTACTATATTATCTTCATATCTACACCTGCCTCTTTCTACAGATATACATCAGCAAGTACCTGGACCAGTATCGTCACATTCTTCGTCAGCTTGACTTCCAGAAAAGTGATAGAGAAGATTGGAATATGTTTCAGATGTGCCTCACACTGCTTCAGAGTGTTGGCAAGTGTTATGGGTTGTTGTTTGAACATTAATCCATTAAGGGGTTCTGTGTGTAAATTCTTGAATTTGATTTTTGTGTTTGCTTGCATCCATCTATCTCCCCAAATATCTTTTACCTACTTATTTATTCATGCAGTTTAATGGAGACATGTACATAGCTTAAATGCATCTGTCACACAAAACAAATAATAATAATAGGTAACTACAGTTGTAAAAATACCTTTCTGTTCTGTCATCTTACGATCATTGATTACATGGATCCAACACTAGGTAATGTCATCCTATTGCAATTTGTGCAGGATCTGATGATGGTTTGTTAGAACTGGAACATGGAGCAGAATAATAAATACCAATGAGGTGTTATCATTTGTCATTGTTTACATTCCCTATAGAACGGACAATATTTTGTAAGATGAGGCACCGACTAAGTAATTAACATTAATATTACTACATCTACATCACGAGCCTCCAATAACAGTTTATTATTATATATACACAAAATATAGAATACTCCAATTTGTCTGTGCAAACGCAACAAAATCACAAAAACCAACGACTGACTCGATGATGTAAAGCATCAATCGAAGAATTTTATTCTTGTTTTATACTATAACTTTTGTTTTATATAATTAATTTATTGCATTTTTATGCCAAGTATTTTAATATAAGTAATATTATTGTATCCAATTTTATTAGTACTGCAGTTCAGTGGTTGTTGGCCATGTATTTGCCTGATGGTGGCTTTTAATAGCTGAAACATATAGCAGAGCCAAACTAGGCACTGACCTTGATATAGTTGTGTTGTGACAGTTTTAATAAAGAAGTTGTTATCATTTGTATTATGTGATGGGTGTATGTCTGAAATCCATGTTAATTTACAAACAGGATCTAAGTCATGAAAAAAAGAAACATTTCACTTCTAATTTAGAGTTTGTCTAATACCTTGAATAAAGTCTGCGTGCAAAATGACAATGCACTGGACTACGTACATTCTCTTTAAATCCATGGGAGAAGTAAACAGAAAGATGATGGACTTTCTATTGCAAATTATTTTAAATGCTGTAATACTGGAAGATTACAATGACACTGTGATTTAGGCACAGAGACTGGATGCAAGCAGAAAATAATAAGTGACCTAGAGAAATGACAAAGAATTCATGTGCCTTTGCACAACAGAATGTGATGGATTTCTTGAAAGTCGAAGTGCAAGATAGTTTGTTCAGGGCAAGTGCTTTTATTGGCCACAGAATATTATACATGGGAAATTGTCCAGAGGCGGTTTGTTGTGAAAATTATAAATATTGATTAGTTGTAAACATTTGATTTTTAGGGGAGCTGTTGAATCAGCTCAGACAGCTAGATCGAGATGTGACTCGCAGTTTACTAGATGTATCACGCAAGTTGAGTGATTTGAATGGAAGCAAGGAAGGGAATCCCTTTATCCAGTTCAAGAAACTGCTTTTATCTTCTGCAGGACAGAAAGAATTAGATGCTTTGTTCAGCAGTATGCAAGAAGGTACTGAATTGGTGCATCATTAGTAATTTATCGGTATCATAAAACATGAAGTTCTGTTGCAAAATCATAAAAAGAAATTGGATGAAGTGGCACATCTACTTAATGCCAGCTACATTCGGAGGTTTATATCCAATAGAATAACTGGTTATTAGATTGAGTTCTCAAGTTCGTGAGCAATGAACCCTTTAATGATGCAATAAATGCAGTAATATGTGGTGGAAATGGACGAACAAATTAAAAGCTTAAGTGTAATGTGTGTTTATATGATTTCTTTTTATGACAGATAGACATATGATATGCAGTACAACAATTGATAAAATGTAAAATATACTTAACCAACAGTAGAAACAAAGGCTGTTATTACATACTTCTTTCTACTCAACAAGACTTTTAACCTACTATAAGCTGATTTTAAAGGTATACTCTTAATAGTAACAGCATGTTTAAACTGTATTAACTGTTTACTCTTCATTTCTGTAACTACGGTGAATCCCATTAGGTGATACTATAGTGACCTTTATGCCCAACAGTACATGTAAAATGATTCCTTTATAATGTTTGCTATGCCTTCTAATGATGGCTAGTAATGGCCGAAACATATGGTCACATTTTCGAGGTGACTATAGACAGAGTTTTGGATTGGATCTTGGATTTATTGACAACATTAACACACAACTTTTAATAACACCTCACAGATCACTGGCACACATGGACTAGTGTCCTCAACCTATTACAGTCTCCATTAGCCGTTTCCTGGAAACAGATTTCAACACAGGAGCTATAACAGTCTCACTGAATTACACACTCCAAATATCACATGTTGCCATCTTCGGGATTGAAGTCACTTTGACCTTGAAGATGGAGGGGAATGACTTGAAATTTTTTCGTGAACAGTGAGGAGTTTGGGAAACCCCATCCTAGTTGTACCATGCTTCAGGTGAAGTGTAGTTACATTGCTTAATGGGGCCTTTAGGTAATCATTTGGCTTCATGAAGTTGGGTCCTAAATGATGAAACATCAAGTTAACTAGAACCTCATAGTCCCATATGATATGTGAAGGTATCGTACTTTTATTATGGAACCTTTCACAGATGAGGCTATTTACCAGAAGGTAGATTCTTACAGGCATCAATAAGGAGCCTAACCATAGTGGCAAATTATACCACCTTACAGAAATGTCCACGCTGAATTTTAATAAAAAAATATGAGTATAGGTGAAATTTCATTACTTGCGATTTGAACTTTATTTTGGTTCCATACATTGTGTTCTCAGGAGAACAGATGTTGCTGGAGGAACATATAACTCTGTCACTGAACAAGCTGTGCAGCGATGTACATCATACAACATTTCAAGTTATCTTTGCTCCCATCTCAGTGCAATTAGAACAAGTTCAGTCTGCATCTGCTTGGAGCAGTGTCAGTAAGCCAGCAACTGCTATTTCAGCAGATCTTCCTGCTTTCAGCTTTGCCCCACAGGAATATATTACACAGGTATAGTTGGAAGGACATATCCATATTCTGTCTCCTGTATAAGCTTCAAAATGTACATAAACAGTTTACAAAGAGTTCTGTCATCTGGGATAGAATGTTATAGTCTGGTGGGAGTTAACCTGTCACCTCCTCTTTCAGGTGCAAAGAGTGAGTCAAACAACAGATAGCATAAAGCAGGCAGCAAGCTATGCTATCCTCTATTACCTGTTTCTGCATTGATGTGCTTAAACTCTTGTTCAGAATTTTGTCCCACCATATCTTTCCTTCACACATTACTATGTGGCTCCAATCTTCCTCTTTCCTTCATATGGGACTGAGTCTCCATTCACTGTTTTCTGTCTCCTGGCTTCCCCTGTACATAGGTCTGTATATGCATCCTCCTGCCACTTGATCCTTTATTATACATTGTTAGTGAACATATCTCGCATCAGAATATTTTGGTTTCTTATCCAGCTGTTATCATTATTCCTCCCATTCCTGCATAAGGAGGAGGCAGTGTTGTGAACCTTCCCCTCTCTTCCAGATTTCTCTAGATTCCTTGGGCAGCCACCAGGGAATCCTCAAAGCTGACATGATATACTTGTAACAGCATTGATTAGTTCCATGGCAGAACAGTCTGGGCTAGGAGGTAGCTGTGTGTGGGCTGTGTGCAGACATGATGCAGTGTGACTAAGGTGTAATGAGGAGTAGACAAAGAACTGATGCCAAGATCATAAGTGGCTATGGAAGATTAGAGAGTAACATAATATTTTTGTCACAAGATCGTAGTGGGTATGTGTGGGTCGTAAGGCACTACTCATACATGTGTACTGCATTATGAAGCTGTACTAATATAATGTGTCTCTTTTATTGGGAATTATTTTATTACTTCGGTTTTGGGATGTTTGACTGAATTTTGCAGTGTGATCGAATTATCACTTCTTTCAGATATTCTGTGTTGTAAAGGTATACCAGTTTTGGTAAGCCTTTACATTTAATAGTTTTTTTTCTGATAATATCAATGCAGTAGGTACTCCATTTTTTTCCCAGGAACTTAAGAAGGCATCTGATTTTGTAATATTCTAGCATTTATTCACCAAGAGCAAACTAATTTCTCATTATCTCTTTAGGGACTAGTATCTCATAGTGTGTAGGAATGGAGATGATTGTTTACTCCGGTTCTTAAAAATTATGGGATATAAAATACATAAAACCAACAGTACCTACATTTTGGTAAACGCATTTCCTCTGCATCTTGTGTAATAATTATATTACTTAATATATGACATGAATAAAAAATGTGTATAAGAATATGTTTGAAAACCTGAAGGGAAGGGGTCGCTTGAGAGAGACAGGCATATGTGGATGGATAATATTAAAATGATTCTTATAGACGTACATTGTTAGAGCATTGACTGGATCCATGGCTCATGACAGGACTCAGTGGTGCACTCTTGTAAACTAGTAATGAACCTTTCAATTCCACAAAAGCAGGAAAATTCTTGACCAGCTGAGTAACTAGAAAATTTTGCTTCCCCATACACGAACATGTAGCATTCTGTTTGTTGGAGTTTGTTAATTGTATTACTGCTATATATGTAAAAATAAGATTCAGTATTGAAGCTGGGGCTGGCATTTAGGGGAGGCTATAAAGCATACATCCTGCATCTTAAATTTTGGCAGGGGAAGACAGTCTGTTGATTTCACTTAATCATTATGTACATCACACGTAGATTGGCCAGTATTTAATGACACTTCCGCAACACTTGGAGCCGTTTCTACTGCAAGACAATCCATCTCTAACACTGGCTCTTCGTGTGGCCGATGCTAAGTATGAGCTGCTGTCTGGAGGAGCAGAAGGTGGCTTTGCAGATGTACTGCTTGGTATCATTGCTAAAGGCACTTGCCAAACATATTGTGACAACATCCTTGGTATCTGTGAATTGGGACCTGGTGCTTGTAAACAGCTCGCTACAGATATTGGTGAGTTAACTATGTTAACTATTTCTGAATCAGAATTCATGGTTCTCTCAAACGGCATACATATTTACAAGTGTTTCAAAGGAACATACTGCCTACACATCCACTGAGAAGATGAGGCAGTATGTTCTTGTGAAATGCCAGACTATATGGCACCACATCCGATAAGAAAATTATCTTCATGTCCATATCTACCTAAAGTGGATCCCCAAGAATGGATTTAGAGGAAACAGAATGTCTCAACTAAGGACAAATGTACGGTACATTGACACTTGAGTGATTTATCAAGTGGCTGAATGTCTGATATACAGGCATACCTCGTTTTATTGCACAAAACATATATGAAGATCCAGTCATTATCTGGTGGTGGTGGTGGCGGTGACAGAATTTTAGGCCGAAACTGGCCGAAAGTAAATGAGCAGTGCAAACATTTTATATGGAGAGATTCAATCTGAAAGTCTCCAACAGGTTCATAACTTTGGAAAACTTAGATGATGACGATGGGGATAACTGTAGATCTTGGGAAACTGTTAGATAGAATATAACCATTTCAGCCAAAGAGAGCCTCAGTTATTGTGAACTGAAGTAACATAAACCATGGTTCTGTGAAGAACATTCAAAACTTGCAGAAGGAAACAAGTCGGACTGCACTGGTTACAGGATCTGAGTCAAATAAACGGAGATAATCTGAACAATGTAAGATGTAAAGCTAGCAGACATTTCAGGAACAAAAAGAGGAGTATCTAGAAGACAAGGAAAGCGGGTGGGAATGAAATTAAATGGAAGATATCAGGTCTTGGTCTATGCTGATTATGTAAATCTTTTGGGAAATAGCATACATACCACAAAGATGAATACAGAAAAAGTCACTTCTGGTGGGAAAACCAGAAGGTAAGAGACCAATAGGAAGACCTGGAAGTAGTTGGGAGGATATTAAGATGGATCTTGGAGAGATGGTATGGACTGGGTTGATCTGGCTCAGGATAGGACTAGTGGAATGTTTAAACAGTTCTATGTAGTTAATTAAGCTCATAGTTTACATTTCCTTCTGTTATTTATTAGCTTTATTAATATTTAGCTCAAAATAGCTGTCTTGTATGCTGTACATACTCAATTACCAATATTTTCATGACCTTCTTCTGCCTTGGGATTTGGATAATACTTCTCAAGAAGTCACATGGCACCACTGGTTATCCTAGTTCCCATCTCTGAAGTATTTCTCCCAATGTTGCACGCTGCTGGCACCTACAGACATGACAAAGTTGATCAAAGATATCTGCAGCACAACTGTTCTCCTTTACAAGGAATTCAATCAAAACATGCTCATGAAGCATTTTGTTGCAGTGGATTATGGAAAAATACTGGTACAAATGAGCTGGACGTGTATTTCAGACTGCAGATTTAACTACTGGATGTGTAACTCCTTGTCTCATTATGTGGATAAAATATATGTAAACTGATGCTGCTCATTACTTTTGGTATGGCAATGTGAAAAATGCACCAATCCATATACTGCCATTTTAAATAAGATCAATGCTTCTCTTTCCTGCCTTTCAGACTATCTAGGCAATGTTTTGGAAGACCTGGGGTTATCACTGTCAGACCATCTGCAACAAGTATCAACATTACTCAGACTGTCACCTGAGGAGTACCAGACCAAGAGCTCTGGATGTTCTCCCCGCCTGGTAGCAGCTGTGAGGCAGATGCGAAATATCACCTCATCAGGATGAACTACTGTCCCTTTGGTTTATAATTCTGTATGGCAGGATGGAGCAGTTATGATATGGGGAATTTATATGAATTTTAAACCCCCCATCCCAANTCTCATGTGATTTGTGAATGCAGTTCATGTTAATTCATTTTCAAAAGTACTCATGTTACTACTACTTTCACAGCAGTTGAACCTCGAGAAGAGGATTACAAGTCAGCCAAATCAGTTTCATGACAGCTGTGCTGTAAATGCACTATTGGCTCCCCCATGTCCATATGATTAACAGAATGGCCACATGAAATTACAATTCTCAATTACCTGCAGTAATGGAGGAAAGTGTGGATAATTAAGAATATAAAAAATATCTGGAAACACCCACTTTCCAAGCAGCATTAAACCATGAAAATTAACTATATTAGTCTGAAATTACTTTTAAACTTACATTCCAGTGTTCTGGAATTACATGGCATGCTTAAGCAAAAGCAAAAATGAACAGAAAGTGATGCATTCAAATGTAATCTGATCTGACTAACTTTTGTTTCAAAGTCTTTCTTGCTTCCACATTACTATTGTTAGTATGCCTACTACCAGCTTATCACAATGCAGGGTGTTGCTCCAAATTATCTGGTAAACCCAAGTCCCTTCAAGGGCAGATGCACTGTTGATATGCTTTTCTGGAATCAGTTGTTTGATCCCCACTGTCATCTGATATGACTGTCTACCCTTGATCCTTTTTAGTTAACAGTATGACTGTCAGCACTTCCTTATCCTGCGTCATTACAGCTAACATTAAACTACGTGATATACTGTAGTGTTATGTGTTATGTAACTGGAAGGTAGTCACAGATTTCAACAATTTTTGGATTTTGTCAGTATCTGTTATGATCATCTGTAAGAATTTTATAGATTTTTATAATATCAAGGTTCTACTGTAGACATTTACAATAAAACAGGTCTGTCTATCCCCTACAGATTAAAGTACATCATATTCATTCCTTTTAATGATACTTGCCATTTTATCCTGTAATTTCACATGGCAGCTTATTCCCACTGTCATTCAGTTGCCCACAGTTTGAATGTTCGATCATATGAAGATGTAGCAATGAACTGCGAGTCAGGAGAAATGTCTACACACATTACTTTGCCATCGTGCCCAGATAACGTTTTCAGTGGCTGCCATGTTTTATTGGACCACACCTGGGAAGTAATGGAAGGATAATACATGTATTGAAAAACTGCAAGGTGCATGCAGCCAGTCATCTTACTTCTGAGATGATTTGCAATAGGCTCTACTGTTAAAATATTATTGTCTTTTCCACATTACTAATTAATAATGTAAACAATTCATGTAATCTTAAACAATAAAATAAAGACTGAGATTGTTAAATTCACATATAGTTTTCTTAACATTTCCCCTCTAATAACTGCTCACACATGGGTCCCTTAAAAAATATCTTAACAAGATTTTAAGGATATTACATGTAATATTTAAATTAAATTAAAAAAACTCATGGTAATTTGGGGGAGGGTGCTTGCACTATATTAATAGTACAGTCCAGAGACTAAGAATATTGGTACCTTTGCTGTGTTGTCATATGATGATGTCACAACAAAATTGCCTCCTTGATACTGGTACTTGACTTGTGAGAGAAGATTCATATGTGCTGGAATAGTGTACAGGCATGCTCGTCGCCTTAGGTCCCAAATTTTGCAGGTGTTATCTTCACTTCCCGTGGCTATGTGATAGCTGGAACATCAGAAACAAACTTAGAATTACATGGTTGGTTTATACATTATTTAACAACACTGTATCAAACATGAAGGCTTACTGAGTGTTTAATACTAAAAGATAATTGAAGAAGTTGTGACCTATTTTAACATATTCAGTGCCAAACCCTCATACTGGGATTTTACTTGCTGGGCTAACCATTTTTCTGCAAAACGTGGATTTTGAGCAAGTGAAAAAGAGGTAAGGCATTGACCCTTTCAAGCTCTTAACAAGCTGTATTTCATGTTTTTCTCTGCTTCAGTGACATGTAGGAGAAACTGGCATTTACATATATAGAGGCAATATAAATATATATATTTCTAGGTGACGGGATTGACAGTGGATGTGTTAAGGTATTTGCCTCTTATTCCCCTGGAAGGGCTGAGGAAAACCAAGATGATTCAGAAACGTGATTTACTGGAAACTGGATCTGGTGTGTTGTTATGATCCACGTTCCTCAACCATGCAATGATTTCCAAAGGAGGAATGGAACACAATTTCAAAATTCAAGCAGTTTTGGAACTCAAATAATGACTGCAAGTTACTCATCAGTAAAGAATGTTGATATATTTCCAGAGTTCTGTGACTTGTGTAAGGGTTACACTTTTATTATAAGACTGGAACTTTACTTCAGTGTTCATTTTCCATGCTAGGCAGTCCTCTCCATAAATGAATTATGTGAATATACACAAAGAGGTGTTGAGTGACTGATTTAAGTCAACTCAGTTACAATGCATATTTGTGCATACTGATAAGGGACAAAGTCAAACAACTAGAAACTAGGCATGCATATGTCTTGAATTTTGGGACTGAATTAGGGGACGGGATCAATTTGAAAGTTGGTTTTTCAGTTTCAAACTTCCAAGAATTTTCAGGTATCTGACTTTTCTTTATGAAGTATGACACATACTCAAGCCATCAGAACTGTGATGGATAGCAATCTGTCTCCTTCCCACACTACATCTTTCCTATTTCTGTACATAATGTGGGCATTTAATATTAAGAAGGATAAGTACTACACTTTAGTGCATTATAAAAAAAAAGAGGCTAATGTTATCTGTGATTAAAGTGGGGGAGGGGCAGAGACTGGTCTCATGAAGAAAATTCCTGTTCTATCTTGATTCTAGAAAATTTCCAAATTCTTGTCTTGAAATGAAAAAGTCATTCTAGTACATGCCAGACCTAAGTAACAATACAACAGTTCCTTCATTGCACATGGGAAATATACACCCATTCTCAAGATACTGTCTACTGGTGTGAGTTACTGGCATTCCCCTTCACACCACACATAATGATTATAGTCTTATGCCTTATCTGTAAGAAGAGGCGGTAGCATGTGAAATTTATGTTTGTAATATTGTGGGAGAAGCTTTGCAAGGCATATCATCATACCCCCTCTGATCCTCAACAATGTAACAGGCCTAGTACGAGGGTTGATCAATAAGTACCCGTGTTTGAAGACAGGTGGCGTTGCTGAGGGAAGTTGGCTTTACCGTCGTGTACTGCCATCTGTCAAACGACCCCATACTAAATTTCAGACTGATTCATAGGTTAGTTTTTATTTGGCAGCCAGTTGCATCAGACGTGTTTTGTCTTTCTTGATACAATGGAGAAAGTGCAATATCGATCCGTAATTCGCTTTTTATTTTTGGATGGAAAAACATGCGAAGAAATAAAAGCGAAGTTGGATGCCGTCTATGGGGACCCTTCACCATCTATGACAACCGTGAGATATTGGTTCAACGAATTTAAACGTGGTCGTACATCTGTTTTTGACGAGGAGCGGCCGGGCCGCCCGGCAGACGTCGTTACCGAGGAAATCGTTGAAAAGGTCCATGACATGATTCTCGCTGATCGCCGAACTAAAGTGCGCGAAGTATCAGAGGCCATATGTTTGTCGTACGGAACGGCACTCAATATTTTACATGATAACTTAAGTATGAGAAAGGTGTCAGCCCGATGGGTGCCGCGGTTGCTCACGGTGGACAACAAGCGGATACGGCTGTCAATGTCGAAGCAGTGTTTGGACCTCTTTAAGCGAAATTCGCAGGAGTTTTTGCGTCGAGTCGTCACCGTTGATGAAACCTGGATACATTATTATACGCCAGAGACCAAGCGACAGTCAAAACAATGGATTTTTCCGGGTGAATCTGCTCCGAAGAAGGCAAAGACGGTCCCATCGGCCGGAAAGGTCATGGCCACGATTTTTTGGGATTCGAAGGGAATAATCCTCATGGACTTTTTGCAGAAAGGAAGAACGATCACGGGGCAGTACTACAGTGAATTATTGGACCGATTCGATAAGAAATTGAAGGAGACACGGCCCCATTTGGCTAAGAAAAAGGTGCTGTTACACCACGATAACGCACCAGCACATTCATCTGGAATTGTCGTAGCCAAATTGCATGAACTGCACTATGAATTGCTGCCACACCCACCGTACTCGCCTGACCTGGCTCCCTGTGACTTTTTTCTGTTCCCCAACATGAAAACATGGCTCGGGGGAAAAAAATTCAGCTCAAACGAGGAGGTTATCGCCGAGACAGAAGCGTATTTTGAAGAGTTTGACAAATCGTATTTTTTGGAGGGGTTAAAGAAATGGCAGAAACGTTGGGAAAAGTGTATCGACCTGAAAGGAGATTACGTTGAAAAATAAAAAAAAAAGTGAAAAACTTGTGTCTTTATTCCTAACACAGGTACTTATTGATCGACCCTCGTACACTGTCTAGACTTGACATTTGTTACGTAGAAGTTTAGTATTACAATATGGTTATTTACCCATTAGGAGAGAAGTCTATCCCATACAGTGACTTGAGATGACCTTCCATGAACATGATGCACCGTCCAGTACGTAGGTCCCACACTCGTCCAAATGCATCCAGCCCACTGCGAAAGAAAAAGGGCCTATTGTATGCAAACACTTAACCAACAACCTGGAAGACCATAAGCTGGTTTCCTTGGCATTTCTCTCTTGTGACCTGCTGGAAACATGCAAGATAAATATTGACGGATACTACCGTATCACACTTTAATCCTTACAGTGGTCATTATGTGCATAAGATGTTATTAAAATATATATGCATTATTATAATGCTATATGTTTCGGCCATATAAGGCCATCTTCAGGCAACACTTATTTGATTGATATTGTGGCATGCTGCCTGAAAGCCAGACTACAGGACATCCATCGCTATGCAATGGGCAATAGGAACACATGCTACCTAAGAAACTGCCTACCTAACAGAGGAAGAGTTGTTGCATTCCCGCAGCAACGGATAGACCAACTAATAAATATTCCAGCTAAGATGCGAAACTAAAACTTTCGACAAGGTGTCTTCTATCCTGCCCGAGGGTATGATATAACAGTTCAGATCCGATCAGAGCTAAGAGAAGAATGAAGAGCCATGATATTTCACTGAGAATAGTGGTGCAAGTATAAATGTTGAAGAACCAATGCAGAGAGATGCGGATTAATAAGGTCGCTTCATCTGAAAGGGCATTATTTGAGAGTAACTGTCTAGCTACACATAGTTTGTCCACAATGAATGAAAATACAATTCAGATACAGCTCTGGAAACACTGAGGAATTAAAAGTGATAGAAATCTCCATTTGCCAATGACATTAAAACAATACCTACCTAGCACTCGGTGCTAAAGCCTGCATTAAAATGATACACAAACTAATACAATGTTATGTGATCACTGCCCAAACTTGAAACTTACCCTGTAGCACATACTGAACCATCTGTCTGAAAGGAGATACAATAGACAGGCTTGCAATGACCTTCCTGATGTAGAACTTCCTGGCGCTGTTCCAAGTCCCATAACCTCCAAGAGCCATCAAAACAACATGTACCCAAAAATCGGCCTGAAGGATGGAAAGCAAGTCGTGATACCCGATGAGGAGCATGACCTTCTACATCTGCCAGTGGATCCTCACTGAAAAGCAATCAACTCAGTATTCATAACAATGATGTAGAGATGAAATCAATGAAATTAAATATCAGTATGGGTAATAGTAGGTAGAACTGGCATGGATAATTCAAAACAGTGAACAGTTGGAATAATATCTGACCTTTCTTGCTGTCATTCTGTCTTATGCTATGGTGGCTCTGAGTCTTAACACATATGCAAGCAATCCTTCACTTCACTCAATATGCTTCAGTTGTTGTATATGAAGAATAGGGTAAGACTTGGGAAGAGGTTTCATACAACAGTGATTCATGAAATGAAAGTGCAACAATATCCAATGTGCACACAAGTGGAACAATCCAGATATCTAGAGAGATGTTGATGGATACAAACAATATGGTTTTCTTTCTGCATTAGAGTTTAAATTCATGAGAAAACTCGTACTCTCTGTTTCAACCATATGTCTTGCACTGTGTATCTCACTCTGGTTTGGAAGCATTCTCATTTTTACCCCCATGAGAAAGTCACACCAATCTTCTGTTCATTAATTTTGTTTGTCTGGTTGGACTGACAGATTTCAGCTGTGTCACATTTCCTGTGGGAAAGTGAGTTGTGAAGCAAGGGCTGAGCATGAGACAACAGAATGGCTTAAAAAAGTTTGGCCCAAAGTGCATGCATGCTACAGTAACAGTGACACTTTTAATGATGATGAAACTGGAACTTTCTTCAGGTTAATTCAAGACAAAGCATTGAAATTTAAATGAGAAAAATATTCTGGTTGGAAGCTATCTAATGAGTGAACTGCTGTTTTTGTTATGTTCCAATTCTAATAGAACAGAAAGGTGAAAACTGATACTGGGAAACAAAAATGTCAGGATTACTGGATTTTTTAACCTTGTAAGATTTGAGGCTTTCACGGCGGTGACTATGAAGAAAGCAGTCTTCTGGGATTTGGCACCGTGTATATGTGGTGTTAACCGACGTTTTGGAGGAACGTATCGCCCCCATCTTCAGGGTAGAAGAAAAAGTATAGGTAAATCTGCAAGCGACAACACCGTGAGACACGGTAAAGCAGACTGAAGAGGATACCGTTAGAGCAGAGAGGGAAGGGGATGAACTGCGAGTAAACAAGTGAAAGCAGTGGTGTGGGAGGGGTGGGGGAAGGGAGCTGGAACAAGCGTGATTTTGTGTAGGGGAGAGAATAGCAAGGTTACAAGGCTTCGCTTTAACTGTAGGCTGAGGGGGGGGGGTTGTTATGTTGGTTGGTCATGGCCTTGTGGCCTTCTGGATCTGGCATCATATCCCGGTGGGGGATTTTTAAGAGAACAGATAAGAGGTTTCCAAGACTTGCTGAGATGAAACCCATCCTCTCTGTTCATATTCCCTGGATGCAGTTCGATCTCAATGGCTTCCCTAATGATGCGATCCATATAGCGCGTCTTGGTGGCGAGGATGGAGGTATTCTGAAGCTGAATGCGGTGTCCCAGTTCGATGCTGTGTTCAGCTACGGCCGACTTGTCCGGATGTTCAAGACGGATGTGCTGCTGATGCTCCTTCAACCTCGTGTCCACGGAGCGGCCTGTCTGCCCAATATAGACCTTCCCGCACTCGCATGGGATACTGTATACACCCGGTGTAGGCAATCTTGTAGGTGGATACCAGCATTTCAGAGAAACATGCCTCAGTCTTTAGCGAGGAGTGGGCATGGCATTATACAGACTGTAAGAAAGGTGGTCACTCAGATCAATAGGAAGGGGGGAGAAGACAGAACTTGTTCCAGGTAAACAAGGTGCAACATTCTCATACTTCTCACTTCGACACTGAAAATGACGGCAGTATGTTCCTCCAAAACATTTGTATCTTCCTATCAGACTACATATCAGAACATACTGCAAATGATTTTCATTGTTTACCGGTGGCACTATGCCTCAAGACACACTCACCTAGAGCCAGAGAAGGGAGATGCATGACTTCACTTATTCTGGATGACTGCTCAACAGTAACCAATCCTACCTGACTGCCAACTGTTCATGGAAAAACCTGCCATGCACAGTTAGTTAAATAATAATATTCAGGTTTATAATTATACAGAGATTACTCTCTATGTCATTTAACATCTTTTCATACCTTTCCATAGTCCACAGTTTGACAGACCCATCAGAAGCACACGATGCAAGAGCACATACTGAATTTTCTTCGGCTTGCATTGCATGGGGATGGAAGACTATAGCTCCTACATTGCAATCGTGTCCTCTCAAAGTCAACGTGAGTTTACAGTTGGGCACTGTCCACACTTTACACAATCCACTCCTAGAAGAGATGACACAACTTTCTGAATGAGATAAAAGCGATGAGCAGAAGTAACCGGACTTTTCCCTCCAAAGTGAGACTAGATCAACTGCTGACTTTATGCAGTATCAAATTTCATTTGAACACCCTGTATATACAGTAACTCACTTATCCAAGAAGTGACATTGTTACTTGACTTAATCAATGATGCTGTGTCACCTGTACAGCTTATATACAATCAAATAAAAAAATGACTGGGTGATTATGAACATCAAACTGTGAAGGTTGTGGAAGTGTCAGTGAACTATATGAAGGCACAACTTCTACACAAGCTTGGAGGGGGCAAGAAAGCCAACAGATACCTGCAAAATGCACATGGGACATGATACTGCTATGACACGCTCTCTGGTATGGAAGAATCCAACTATACACCAACTTCAACCAAGTGAAGAAAACAATTTCCACTACAAATGTTTTAGTATTTCTCAATGATGGTACTTAAGGCATTTAAATTCATGATGCTTTGTAAAAATTGAAACCACATAAATGATATGATTTGTAACAAAACTTCTTGCAAGATTAATATTTACCATGAAGCAGTAGCAAGCAATTTAGAGTCAGGACTGAACTGACAATATGAGATGGGTCTTGTGTCTCCGATCTGACTGCAGTATATTGATACTGCTTGAAGTTTCTTCTGTAATTCTTGTCTTCTGGCTGTGCGTGTAGCCTCAGGAAGGTCTTGCTCTTTACGAGCCTCCTCTAAGCGTTGTTTTGCACGTGGTAATGAATAACCTGTAATAAGTTCGATTTGTTTCATTCTGGTCTGTCACACTAACAAAATTACAAAAGGTTAATTAATTCCGTCCAGTGTGACTGATGGTTTTTTCTTTTTTATCTTTTATCCTTTACATGTTTTGGTCCTATAGACCATCTTCAGAAGGATCTGAATACAATTAGAAACCACTATTACAGTATGTTTTGTGAATATTAATATGTACATACAGATGGTCTATAGGACCGAACCATGTGAAGGATAAAAGACTAAAAAGAAAAAACCATCAGTCACACTGGACGGAATTAACTAACCTTTTGTAACTTGGAATAAAATTACAGAAATCTGTACAAGTTGACAAATATTCTCTCTCCTTAGAATGCTAGTGTATGAGGTCAATAACATCATAGTCCCTATTTCTTTTGACCCATGAGGGTGGATACAATGAAATATCACCATTATGATATCTGATTATTATATGTTTGTTATAAATTAAATGAACAAAAATAATATTCAGAAGTGAGAATATTAATATTTTAGTACAAACACCCTCATCTTTTCTCAAAACAATCCCTCTTAATTGCTACTGATGAAATAATTAACTCCAATGACATCTGGCACATGACAAGCCTTAATAAAACATTTTACTGCAAAACACACAAGCCAAACTCTGAAAATTGAATTACTTTGGATAATATATGCCCCCCCCTTCCGCACACGCATGCGCACACACACAAACACATAATTGTGTGTGTAGGAAGCTGAGGCCCTGAATCGAGGGATCTGATCCACCATCTCAAATGATTGCTTCAAACATCATAGGAACCTGTCCTGAAAGCCAGGAAGGAATCAATACGCCCGATTGCCATGGACTATTTCACCAAGTGGCCTGAGGTTTACATGTACAGCATCCCTAACCATGACATACAGATGATGGTTCAGATTCCAGCAAACCCCCTTTTTCTGGTGCTTCAAGATCCCAAAGGACCTGCACAGCAACCAAGGCTGAAACTCTGAGTCATGACTCCTACATGAGGTGTTACAGCATCTGGGAATATTAAGACATGCACCAACCCTCTGCAACCACAGCCAACATGGTGAAACACCACATGAAGACAGCACTGGAACACTCGAAGATGGTTGTTTTGATGCACCTCAGAGATTTGGACGACAGGCTTCCCACCTTCCTGCTGGCCTATAGAACAACAACTCATGGGACCACAGGCATGACATCCGCCAGCATTGTGTCTGGAAGGGGGCTATAAGAGCCCTGCAACCTGCCGCTTGAACTCCCAAGATAACCCATAGAACCCAAGGAACCCATAAGCAAGTATATGAGGCACCACGAAAAACAGATACATGACATCCACCATTATGCCTGTTAATATCTGAAGGCGGCCAGTGAGAAGATGAAGGTCCACTAAAACTGCCTGGCTAATTCCGTTGGATACTGTGGCATGTCCACTGAAAGCCAGAATAGTTTAAATAAGAAGAGATGTCCGTTACTAGATTGTGGCACAATACAGTGATGTAACACTGGAATATGTTATGCGATGCAACATAACCAATGGGAGTACTGCTGGGAATGGTGTTCTCTGTGCGTCTGTGCTGATAGTGACATTATGCAACAATAGAGGAATTGTGGGATGCAGTATTTTTTGTTGTGTGTTGTTACTTGGCTGTAATTAAAAAATATGATCAAATGCATGCAAGTCCATCATACCAACCAATGAGCTAAATTTAAATTGCATGTCATTGTTGGATTGAAAATTTATATTACTTACACATGACATCAACAACACAAGACTTATCAGACAGGAAGTCAGTGCAATAGGGAAGTAGGCTTTATGCATTCTGCCCAGAACTGATTTCTGAAGAATAAATGTCTACATGTGCTACAAAACCGCAGTTTTTCATATGTATGAGAACTTTCTTTTGAACAGAAATAGATTATAAATCCACTGGTCCTATGCACAAACTAAAAGTTTAATTTCTCACTTGCAATCCATAGTCGTGACACTCGAAGGGCTTCAGGCCCCTCATGGTACCATGTGGTTTCCTGATCTTTTTCTTGTTGCATTCTTTCTTCTTCCTCTTCTTGTTTCTTTTTAATTGCATCTTCTCCAAATCTACAAATAATTAAACGAATGGAGGCTTTAATGACAGTAATTATGATGAGTTCCATCTTCTGGGATATAATGTTGTGTGGTTGGATTACCGAGACTACTGAATTCATTTATGGTTTGTGTAAAAATGCCTCCAGTACCTCAGTCCAGACAGTGTTAAATTCAATTCAATTCAATTCTTTATTATTAATGTGCCGAGTCAACAGCCGCAAGGCCAATTACAGACTCAGCACAGTGTAGATGACTGAATTACATTACATACAAACTTATTAAAAGTCAAATACAAATTACAGTTAAGTAATTGGAAGAAATAATAATGAATAAAAGTAAAAGTAAACAAACAAATAAGTGATAATTATAACAGTAATAATAATTCCATTATCATTAAACTAAGTGCTATTACGAATAGAGGAATGAAACATTAATATTTAATTAAGAATTGAATAGTGTAGATTTTCTGAGGAAAATTACGTAATTAATTTTGCTTTACTGAACATGCAAATAATAAAAATACTAACAGTTATACTGTATTTAAAATTTGTTTGGGTAGAACATTCCTGGCTCCGAATACGTCAACCTCCCTGCAGACAACATTAGCAGCTGCTGCGCATCTAGCAGAGGGACAATTTTTAAATAAGGAGCAAACATTGAACAATGCAAAATCTCTGATATACCGAGCAGGAACTCGGAGACCAACAATTTCCAGGGCAGAAGGGCAGAATTTAGAGCCAAAATAAACTTGAATAAGAAAGAGAGCATCAAGGCGATGTCTCCTAGTACATAAAGTATGTAATTTTAACTCCTCAAGAGCAAGAGAATAATTGTAGTGAACTTTAGGAAAGAAACGTTTAAAACAAAGGGCCGCAAACCTCTGCTGGATGCGTTCCAGCTTGTTGGCATCAGTTGACGTAATCGAATTCCAGACTACGGACGCATATTCAAGTTTAGACCTAACTAACGTAGTGTACAAACTGAACATACAGTCTAGTGAAGAGAAATTGTAGGTAATGTTACGAACTAGACCCAATAGTTTCGCGCATTGAGAGAAAATGTAATTGGATTAATGAAAATATGAATTAGAAAGGATATGCAAGGAAACATTTGTGGCCTAATTTGAGGTACCCCACTGGCATTTATCTTGAAGGACTGAGGAAAACCACAAACACCTTGATTGGCTATCTCATCTTGAGGCTGAGACATGACCCCAAGACCTCTCGATCACAAGGTATGAATACCACCTACTTGACCAAATTGGTTGGTCCCTTCATTTTATAATAAAGAGCTAGTAATTAATATAAAATATTTCAAATATAAAGCTCCACGTTACCTCCTAATTTTTATTTTTTGAGGCTATACCACTTATTTATTATTAACCCTATGCATGTCATGTGCTGACTAGATCAGCTTGGGGTATCTGCAAATTGCTGTAGCCAAAGAACCCGGCTCACTGTTGATCTACTGACAGTGTTTCTGTCAATAGATAGCATCAAGTATGACACAGCACCAAAGATTACATGAAAGAATGGGCTTTCATATTTCTGTTGTTGACACAAGGTAAACTGAATATAGTATTGCGAGTTTTTCTGTACAAATGCACTTACCACCAAAGAGAATTGAAATTTCTAGTAGGTAGTGGCAGGCCTACTTCATACCTGGCTAATAAGTCTCGAAGACGACTCCGTCTATCAGCTGGACCTTCACCAAACAGACAAATTGGCTCTCCTAACTGCCGCAGATTGCGCTTGACTTCTTCATCATCGGTTGAAACATTAATCTGGCGGGCTCTTTTACGCCTTTCAAACTCTTCTAGTAGAGCCTGCCGATCACGATTCATTTCTTCTTCCAGTTCCATATATTCTGCAGAAAATCAAATACTATAAGGTCAGAAAATAGGAAAAAACACATCTGGGGGTTAAGTCCATATACAAATCTAACCAGAAACTGGTTATCTATCAGAGAGCATGTAGTGGCACAGATAGTCGCCAACGTTTTGGAGGAGCCTGAAAAGAACACTATGTAGAATCACAGGTGGTTACCAACATTCTAGAACCTGAAGATGCATCCAGCAGTCTCCTCCAAAATTCTGGTAAACATCTACAAGACTAAAGGTTGCTAACCCACAATCTATTAGCCATTCTAGATAATTTATATTTCATGTTCTAGGAAATGTGACAGGTTACGATTTAAAAAAAGAATTTGTTCAAAACTGCACTACATTCACCATAGAAATATCAAATTGCCATGAAAGAAATACTCACTGAACTTTATAAACAAAACATTTAAACACTAAACTTCATTTCAACTTTCAACCACTGCTAATATTATATGTTTTCTTCCATGTCTGTCCTGCCTTGCCCCATATACATTCTGCACCATTGCAAGCAAGCAAGCAAGCAAGCAAGCAATAAATTTTATGGGCAAGAATGGCACAGAGCCATAAATAACAGACACCCTTGTAATTATAGACAATGCTCAACATTCACCATCTGAAATGTTGACATTCCCGGCTTCTGCAATCTGCTGTCCCATATTGGATGAACTTCCTTCTTCATCACTGTCTCCAGATTTAACAACCACTGTGGATAAGCGGGTGCGTTCTTGTTCTTCCAAGGAGCCATAATGAATTGTCTTTTGCTTTTTAATATAGAGAATATCTTCGTCGTCCGACATTTCCTGGGAAATTCAAACAATTATGAACAAATTAATTAAACAGATTCTAAGGGTTCTGACGATTAGTGGATTTTTTAACTGTGTTCACTGTCCGTTATTCTAGAGAATAGAATACAGATAAATCCGAAATCGGATCTGTTTCCATCTGCGGGTGTGGGAGACAGTCTACCGAGTTCGTTAGTAGAAGTTAACCTCAATCACTAGTGACTACGGTCATCTTTCTGCTAGGCCAGTGCTTGAAGTTAGCTCCATCCAATCGCCGCAAGCAAGCAGATGCCTCAACTGAGAACGGAAACAGATCCAGTTTCCGAAGAGCTGTGATTTAGAACACCGGGCGATGAACAAATTCTAAAAAAACAGTAAAAGTGCAAGACTACACGACTTCCACTAACCTATGTTACACTCCGAACGTCTTCACAGCTCATATATGTGATAACGTTTCTGAATCGTGGTAATATGGAATACTTCAATAAAATAATTAAAGCCGTAAAAATACGCATGTCAGGACTTCATAAACAATGTGAAAGCACACAAATACGTAATAGTACATACCTAAATAAAATATAAACGAAAGTTAACGACCTATCGACGCTATCGACTGCCACGGATGAAAACCAATACATACACCACTCTACTAATCCTACTAGAGATCCGAGTTGAGGTAGAGTGATTGGTTAGATTACTTGACTTGACTTGACCTCGAAAAATTTTGTGGTGTAGGTTAGTCTTCGAACGAGCCGAAGATAGCGAGCCGATTCGACTGGGTTGAGGATAGGAGGTGGATTCGGTTGATGGATGGGATTGTCTGTTTGATGGGTTAGAGAGATTGGCA